GAAGAGCTTTGCTGCCAGAGCAGAGAATGTGAATCAAATACTCGCTCACACTTCACCCAGTGTCACCTTCACTTCCCGGAGATCCTGGGCAGCACCGTGAGCCTCTCATAATCCATCCTAAATTAAATGGTAGAGATAGCGTTACCACTTTCCATTCAGTCCACGTTCTATGCATAGTACTTGATTTTCTTATAAAATTAGGTTGGATCCCCAACACAAGTAGGAGGGGCACTGAGGGGGAGAGAAGAGAAGGAAAGAGAGGACCAAATAGTTGAGTATAACACTTGCAATGATTAGCATATTTAAAGGCAAACAACCCTGTATCTATATCCCATTTTGTCAAAATAGTATGTCTATCTCCTTTCTTCACATCCATAGGTTCTCATATCAAATATCATGGATTCTGAAATTATTTTAAACAAAAGGACATCTGACATTATGGAGCAGGGGGAATTTTGAAGAAATGTAAAATGTCATTTAGGGAGATAGAAAATGATAATCAGAAGCTGTTCTGTAACTAATACGTACATGACTCTTTATATTATATAAAGTGTTTTGTATACATTAAATTAAGGCTCATTTAACAAAATTTAAAAAGGCTTCATGTCTCTCCCCTTTATGAACTACGTGGAATTTGATATTTTGAGCAGTAAGAGACCATATTAGTTTGCTAGGGCTGCCAAAACAAAATACCACAGGCCGTGGGGCTTAAACAACCGAAGTGTATTTTCTCACATTTCTGGAGGCTAGAAGTCCAAGATCAAGGTGTTAGCAGGTTTGGTTTCTTCTGAGGCCTCTCTCCTTGGCTTGCAGATGGCGACCTTCTAGCTGTGTCCTCACATAGTCCTTTGTCTGAACCCATTCATTCCTGGTGCCTCTTTGTATGCTTAAACATCCTCTTCTGACAAGGACACCAGCCAGATTGGATTACGGCCCACCCTGATAGCTTCATTTTAACATAATCACCTCTTGAAAGGCTCTATCTCCAATCACAGTCACATTCTGAGGTGCTGGGGTTTAGGGCTTCCACACGTGAATTTTAGGGAACACAATTCAGGCCATAACAGAGACACAGACCACTCAAGAGGCTTTTGTGTGTCAATGTATTCCCCACCATATGAAATTGTCTAAACAATATTTAGCCATTCACCACTTTTAGCCTTGTTTCTAAGGATGCGGAACATGAACCTCTAAGCCATCCTAAGCTATGAGGCTGAGCTGACCTTGCCTTCTCATGAGAAGAGATAGACAGCAGAAGGGGAACCCCTCTGACCAGTTTCTGCCAAGAATTTCCAGACTTCTCTACCAAACAGGAAGAAATGTTCTAACCCAGTACTATACAATTCAAATATGGTGAGAGCCACAAATGTAATTTTAAATTTTCTAGTAGTTGCATTACAAAATAGTAGAAAGAAATAGGTGAAGTTGAGTTTAATATACTTTATTTAACCCAGTAAATCCAAAGTAGTACCACTGCAACGTGTAATCAATGTAAAGAAATATTAATGAGATATTTTTATTCTTTCTTCATACTAAAGTCTTTGAAATTTAATCTGTATTCTACTCATGCAGCACCTCTCAATTCAGACTAGCCACATTTCAAGACTAGCCAAATGTGGCTAGTAGCTACTGTGTTGCACAATATAATTCCAATATTTTAATACATTCCCTGGGGCAGATGTTGTCTTGAGTAGTGAAATTTAATTATAAGCCCCTCCCAATCTAATTACACCTCCACTTATGAAATATTGTGATACCTTTATTTTCTTTGGAATAGTAGTGTGGAAATTCTCCCTAATATATCTAGGAAAATATACCTATCCAAAGATCATAAGTCTTCAAGCAGGTGATTTGTGAATGTTACTCATTAACAACTTAATGAGTTGTGAGTCTGTATCACAATGCAGAACTGAAACGCATTAGATCTTTCAGAAAAGAATGCAGAGATAATGGGTATAGTGATCTTGGAATAATCTATTGCCTCATATACCACCTGAGGGAAAAAAAATGTTACATGGCTGTTTGAGGTCCCAGATCCTTTGGAGATTTTCCTGAGGATCTACTTCTCACCTAGGTCCACATTCTCAGCCAGACTCAAAGAAATCCCTACTCCATTATCTAAATCATATTTCTTGGGCCACTGAGAAAAATTCTAATTCACAACAGTCCTTGACCCTGCCACTGAGAGCTGATGACTTTTTACAAATATAATCACTATAAAAAGGCAGAGAATATCAAAACTCAATGCCTGTCTGGTTTTACCTGATGCTTGAATCTTAACGCCTCTGTTTAATGAATCTTGACTTATGTTTTAAGTCTGTCAATAGATAACATTCATTGAGTCCCTACACTTGGCTGGTTCAAAATAAAGATGAAATAATTTATAACACATGGCTGCCATTCTTAAAGAATCTAATAGGACCCAGTGGAATCAGGACTTCACTCACATAGGTCACACAGAAAACATTTAAGGGCAATAGAAGGTCAGAGAAGGGATAGAGCATCAAGAGACAGTCATCAGATAAGGCTTCAAGGAGAAGGTAAGACGTTTTCTTTAAGATGATCAGAAGAGAAGAAAGAGTACACTGAGGGGAAATACATGAGTTGAGATAAAGTAATACCTGTGTGATTGTCAGTGGGAAGACTGGCTTTACGGGGCAGCATGTCTGTGCGGGAGAGATGGTGGCGATGAGTAGCAAGTGGCCAGTGTACATAGAATCTTTAACACTCGGCATATTTGGATTTGACACCATAGACATTGATCACAATAGATCATTGCACAGATAGGATCTAACAGGAGCAAAGTGGTGTTATAAGACCTTTTAAACCATCGCTGGCAAAACGAAGAAAGAATCAAGTAAGAGGCAGGGAAAGGGAATAAGGGGCTGTTGTAATGAATGCTAAGTGTGATGGCAAAAGCCTGGATGGGCAATAAAATAAAAGAAATAAATAAAAGGAAGAAATGAAAGGAAGTATTAAAAGATAATGCGATCTGAGACTGAGAAGCAAGAGGAGAGCTTCAAAATTGTCATCTTAGACCATTGAAATAATGATGCTTCTTAGGACAGAATCAGGGGCAGGTGGAAAGCAGAACCGATTTGAGGAAAGGCAAGGACTCCACATTCCATTTTAACCTTATGGAGTTGAGGTTAATAGTGAGATACTTGAGTAAGAACAGATGATATGTGATGGGAAATCAATATGTAAAAGGTTGGATCCAGAAACTAGGATCTGGGCAATGTTCATATCAGATAACTAAACTGATTTTATCTACCCATCAGGAAAAAATATACAGATGTCCTAGGGATTCTAATCATAGTCGGAGAAACTCACTCCGAGGAGCAATTCCACAGTGTGTATCTTTTAAAGAGACATAGCCCAGGCTCAGCCTAACAGATCATCTATCTCTGCCTCAGACAACCTCACACTTGCTTCCAAAGATCCAAGTTCTGCAGGAGTCAGAATCACTGGAGGACTTAGTCTCTGACTCATAATGTTATTAGCAGTGACAATTATGAAGGATGTAAGAAGTGGAAGTAGACTTCTGTGTCTCATCAACAGTCTTCATCATAGGGCAAGCGAGACGATACAACATCTAGAGGAATGAACAATTCATTGCAAATGAGAAAGGGGTCCTGACATCTATTGTGAGTTATACTTGCCCAAGACCAACTCGTTTATTTCCTCTTTCAACTCTTGTGCCCAACTTTGTCAGGTTGCCTCTGGAAAGGAAAATGCTTCTTTTTCAGTTGGACACAAGTTTAGGTTACTGCAATAGATCACGTCAAGAATGATTCTGACAAACTTCTTGGTTCTGGACATGATGATGATATTCCAGAAAGAAGGTCCAGGCCTTCCCCCCACAAAGACATATCACTTGTCAAAAGAGTGAAATGGCTTCTAGGGCTTTTTTGCTAAACACCAGGAGCTGTAGAACAGACTTGGAAGGGTGAGGCAGATAATGAAAAGAAATCCAAGTAACAAGCAAACAGTGTGGAGAGCTGTCTGTCAGGGACATGCTGATGGGCAGATTATGCTATTATGTGAACCTGACAGCAAGATTTTTGTCCAAACAAGCAAAGTCAAGGAGATCTGACAGCAGGTAAGAGGGACCCTGGCTTAAGAACTTGGATTCAGGCATAGCACTTTGTGTACTGGAGGAACTTGAGGGAAGGGCAATGCCCAAAGGACACGGGGGCAAGGAGGGGACCAGGAGAGATTCAGCAACTGGGAACAAGACAGCAGACCACCTCCTAGAACTGGGGAACAGACAGGCATTGGTATCAAGCCTACAAGTCCAGTGACTCAGTTATTGGAAAGGCATACGAAAGGGCACAGATAGAATGGTTTACTTAACTAATGGATTAATTTATTGATCAAAATTAAATGTCTAAAAGAATAAGATAAAGAAATCAGTCCTCTAACGTTTTGTCAACCATCCAGTCTTCTTCCATCAATCCTCTTCCTTAAAAATCATATTATCTCTTTAGCTTTACCCCTCTTAATTTTGACTAAATTTTCAAGAAGCCATTCCTCTGGCTAAATTATTCCAAATAGTCTCCCGAGAAAGGAAGGCAGGTTTTTGGCTCAGCACCAGACTGAATCTCCCCATAAGAAGGGAGCACACCACTTTCATTTTTCTCAGTCTTTTCAGTACAGCTTTTTGTTTCTCACCCAGAAAATTCGGTATCATATGGGCAGTGCTAACTCCAGTGTAGATGACACAAAAACTATTAATAGATTATGTCTATAATAAAGCTGAAGTAGAAAACAGAACTGTTACAAAAAGAGAAGTATAAAATAAAAGATGCAAAATATTCTGCCTTGCAAGTTAGATGACCATCTTTGTAAGAGGACATATTTTGAAAGCAATATACACTCTTTATGGTGCTCTTAACTACCCATACTTGGAATTTTTTGCCTGTTTTTTTCTTTTGATTAATGAAGGAAGGAAGAATATTTTATATTAAATTAATTTTTTTTAACTTATCTTTGCTCAGAACCAGCTCCTCCAAAATCACTCTTTGCGGTGAATAAAACCCAGACCTCGGTGACTTTGCTGTGGGTGGAAGAGGGAGTAGCTGATTTCTTCGAAGTCTTCTGTCAACAAGTTGGCTCCAGCCAGGATATAAAACTCCAGGTACTGTATGCTCGGATTTTCCTTTTCTGAGTTAATTTTGATTAAGGCTCATTATCCAAGCAAAGTGAAAATCTCCTCTTTCTTTGAATGATATAAAATGAAAATTTTCATGTACACTTTTGGTTTTCAGTGATAGAAATTTAAAATTATTCTTAGAGCAAGCCCAAAATCTGTCATAACCAACTTGCCAAATCACAAAGTTTATTTCCATCTTTGTATTTATCTTGTTTTTTAACATCTTTATTGGAGTATAATTGCTTTACAATGATGTGTTAGTTTCTGCTGTATAACAAAATGAATCAGCTATACATATACATATGTCCCCATATCTCCTCTCTCTTGCGTTTGTCCCCAGTTCTTAGCCACTCCAGGTCATATTGAGGTTAAATTGAGGCATTTTCTTATTGGCCATTAAACTGATGGAAGGGATAAAGACACTGTCATATAAAATATAATTTAACAAATATGAACTGATTGCCGCTTATGAGAAAGGCATTGTATGGGACACAAATCATAGAATCAATACTTGCCTTCAAAAAATGTCTTTCATTTAATTGTGGATATTTCACTCGAGTAGAAATAATTAAAATAAAATATAAGTGCCGGAAGAGAGATCCATACTACCAAGAGAATTTAAAAGAAGTTAGTAAGGAGGACGATTTTGTTTGGGAAGGTGAACGCTGAGAGAGGTGATTGTTAAAGCTTTAGAATCACAAATAGCAGATATGATGAATACTGAGTTTTTCACGGGGTTAAATTGAATGGAAGGAGAGAAGTGGACCTGGATGGGGGGGGGGAGTAACGAAAAAACTATGTTACAGCCAGACGTGGAAGGAAAAGGGCAAATCTGTGAGGGATGTCACAAAATACAGTGCAAAGACTAATACTATGGACATGAATAACTGATGTTTTTTAAATAATGCAGTTCATGAGATTGAAAAGAAAAAAGGATTTCTGGGAGTACGAATCTTTTCATATGAGTGTTAAGATAATTTGCTTTGATTTCTTTCCCCTTTTGATAGTCTGTTCTGCAAATGTATCTCTTTTTGATCTGTACTGAACAGCTGAATCTTTTTTCTATCCTACGAATCCTTTTGGAAAATAGCTACTCTGCCAGTAATGAATTTTCTTCTCTGCAGCTAGAGTAATGCCTCCCTTTAAGAAAACAATGGTTACTACAACTGAGTCCTGTTAGCAAAAATCTTTCCTTAGAATCATTCTTTTATGGGATCATGAAGGAGATGGGAGTGGGAAATCCGTGCTCATGGCTCTCACCTCTTTAGGCAGAGTTGTTTTCAGATCCTTGTTTTGAAAAACAATATTATGCTACCTCATCTTTTTATACTGTGCAGTTGTACTTATCAGTGTCTGGCCACTGGCGCACCAAATTAACAGCTTCTTCTACTCAAGAATAAGTTAATATTAAATGTTTTGGAGAACACAAAGTCTTTATGCCTTTGGTGGATGCTATTTAAAAGCCGAGGATGCAGACAAAGGGGATAGTGTTCTTAATATACAAAGATCTACTACAAATGAAAAAGATAAAGACGAACCAACCAAAACAAATATTTCATAGAAAATAAACACAAAATGTTCTTAAACATAGAAAAAGATGATTGAGCTCACTCATGGTGAAAGAAATGCAAAATAAAACTATAATGAGGTACAACTTCCACTAATAAGATTAGAAAAGCTCAAAAAGTTTGCAGATTTGTTGTGTAGGGACAGATGTAAGGAAACAGGCATTGTCACACACTGATGGTAGGTGGGTCCCTTGGAAAATGTCTATGGAAGATAATTTGTCAATAGCTTACAAAATTAAAAATATATAACTTATTGAGCCAGCAATTCAACTTCTAGGAATATGAGTGGTTGTATATGTATGTATTCACACATACATACACACACATATGCACACAGGTTTTGTGTATATGAATGCATATGTGTATATATACATACATATACTAAATGAGTATGTGTACATATACATATGTTCCCATAATTGTGAAGTTATATTCATTGTTGCATTGTTAATAATAGCAACAAATCAGAGACTGCTTCAACATTTATTAATAGGGGACTGGTTAAATAAAGTATGTTCTTTCACTGGATTTCTATGCAACCCCTAAAATGAAATAGCTTTATCTGTGCTAATATGGAAAGAGTGCCAAAATATACTGAGAAACAAGATAAAAAATAAGCAGAACGATGCGGAAACTATGTTAGCACTTACATTTTTAACTATATTCTTTTATGTTTATACATCCATAAAATACAGATGGGAAGAAAACTAACCTACCTGACAACAATGGCTGCTTCCATGGAAGAGAATTGGGTAGATGGGAAGTACAGAAAGAAGGAAATAGTTTTCACTGCTTCCTTTTTTGTTTTTTAAATTTTTTACTCTGTGCACACACGTTACCTACTCAACTATGAAAAATACTGATAATTTAAAAACCAAAATAGATGAAGATAACATAACATTTATCTTGTTTTCTGCATCTCCAGGAACCGATTTCTGTTTCTTCTCATGTCGTGACCATCTCCAGCCTCCTTCCTGCCACTGCCTACAACTGTAGTGTCACCAGCTTTAGTCATGACAGCCCCAGTGTCCCTACATTCATAGCCGTCTCAACAATGGGTAATTACAGGCATTAGTGGACTCTGGTGTCTTTGGAAATTATATCTTTCCAGATTTTCCTTACGTTTTCTTTTTAAATATATATAATCCATCTTTTTTAAAAAATAAAACTCAGCTTTCATTGAAAAATTCCAAGCTTTGACTTCAGGGAGACTTTAATTCCAATCCCTAACTGCACTTATTAGTTATGTGATTTAGGAAAAGATATTTACTCTCTCTGAACCTTTGTTTCTTCATCTGTAAAACTGGAATAATAATATGTACCTTGTTGAGTTGTTTTCAGGCTTAGAAATAAAGTACATAAAGCTCTAGCACATGCTGTCTAAATGCTAGTTGTTATCATCAGTTTCATCATTCCCCATAATCCTCTTCAGTGGTACCCACCGTACCCTAATCAGGTCAGGTGCATCTATTCTAGCCTTGACCTTTAGCTGTCACTGATCAAATAATGGTGAACCCAAAGTACTGGGTCAAAGCAGAAAACTTTCCAATCAAGCAGAAAGTATAATTGGGGAAATTAGATATTAATGAAAAGTCCAGAATAATGCTATTTCCTTATTCTTTTTCTAAGTTACATTATTTGTTTTACTTCCCTGCTTGAGTCTAATTCTGTAATCTGAGACCCTCTCTGAAGCTGCCTGTAATAAAACCACTCTTACCATCACATTATCCCTTTACTGGTTCGTTTTCATTTACATAGCATTAATATGTTTTGCCACTACATCCAGTGACCACTAGAATAGACTTTTTTATTTTCTGTTTTTAGTTTTTGCTTTTTCAGAAGTGAGGGCAAAAATGGACCTGAAAAGTAAATTAATGGTCTCTCATTTTGACATCCTTTTACATTTTCTAAAAATACTTTAATGTTCATGATTCCTTGTCATCTGTACAGCAATCCAGTGAAACAGGTGATATTATTAAACGTACTTGCAAGTGAGGAAAATGAGGCCAGAAGAGACAGGTAAAATAGCTTCCCCAAATGGCAGGTAATAGTCAAGCGAACTTGAACAGTCTCTTCTGACCATGAGTCTAATGTTCTTTCTGTTCAAGTACTTCTACCCATAAACTGGAGCCAAGCTGGCCCAAATGGAATGTGGAAAATACCAAAAGCCTTAGAGATTGCGCAGGCCAGCCAGTTCTGTGACTTTGTGACCAATGCAGAGGATGGTATCTCCTCTTTTCCTCTGGTCCACTTTTAAGAGTTTTATAAAAATATTTGATATACATTCCCACCTTTAACATCTTGGTCTTCCAGATACTGTGTGAAGTAGGCAATGTGTAAGTGCCATTGAAGATGGATCATAGAAGACCTAGTATATGAGAGCAACCCCTGTTCTTAAAGACCCTGCAACTTATTAATAAGTTTAATCTCTTGAGTTGTGCAGATGGAAAAACCTCGAAACATATGGTTACAGATCATCAGAATGCCTAGTGCTAGCGATGTGTTAAGTGCTGCAGCAGATGGCAGCTTGCTAATGCCTTTTTCATATACATTATTAGTTGTGAGGAAAATATACAGCTGTGCTTTCTGACTTTAAAGTCATGGGCATAAAATAAGAGCCTCCCCCTCTCTAAGCTTTTGAAAATGTTAAACAGTGATAATACATGATAATGACTTCTAGATATTTTTTTCAAGTGAACCCAAACCATGGCAGAGGCATTCTTTACACTTCACAGTTTCCTTTGATAAGAACATCCTGAGTATGGGCCTTTGAAATGGACTCAATTCTTCCAGCCACCCAAACACTATTTGTCAATCTACTTTACTACGTTAAGAGTTGACCGGGAAGAGGCCATTGCTGGCTTGGAGAAACATCACTGTTGCTGTTGATGTTATCATCATAAGTTTGTTAGTCTTAAGGTCAGATGAGAAACAATGAATGGTCCTGTTAGTTTCCATGTCGTGGAAGCTACAATGAACACGTATGGCTTTTCTCTTTAGTTTCAGAAATGAATCCCAACGTGGTAGTCATCTCTGTGCTGGCCGTCCTTAGCACACTGTTAATTGGATTACTGCTCATTACCCTTATCATTCTTAGGAAGAAGCATCTGCAGATGGCGAGGTAAGTTGTGTTTTGCTCATCTTTCACCCACAACCTCTAAAATATTTTTGTTTCTCGTACGCGTGTGGCTTTTGCAGACCTAAATTGTACAGCCATGAGTTTGCTTTCAGTTTCTATTTTGCGTTTTCTAAATAGACTTTTCAATATTATTTTAGAGAACATTACCTTTGAAATAGTAAAGCAAAAGATTGTTTGTTTACACAAAGTCAGACCTCTTACTATCAATCTTGTCATTTTAAGTAGCCCATACATTGGGATTCACTCATTATATTTGGATACTTCCAAATATATTTTGGAGTAAAAGAAAGATCTATGCCTACTCAGTACAATTAATGAAAGGAGTTAATATATATGGAGACCACAAGAAAGAAAAATAATCCCTTCCCTCATTAGTTCTGCTGAAGCTGTTTAGGAAGAAAATGTTTTTAGAGTTTATGATTAGGTCCCTTCAAGTCCCCGCGTTGGTTCTATTCCTACCCAGGGCTGTAGGCAGTTTCATTTTGCTTGCAGTTAGGAAAGCCTTTTGATTTATGATTTTGTTGATTTCCTATTTTCTTTGACCACTGATGCACTTCTTATCAGAGCACATTTGCAAGTACTTTCTGTGATCCTCTATATTATCAAAACAACCCATCAATTCTCTTAAAAAAAAAACAACAAAACAAAACTATTGCCTAGTTGAGTGTTACTGGGTTTGGGAAATTTGTATAAAATTTATATTTGCCCGATGCTAGCCTGCTGAATTGTCAATTAACATCCTTGTCCATTCTCAGAGTTCTATCATTTAGTTATTCATAAATAAACTTATCCATCTGATAATGAGTCAATCACTGCCTTAGATAGCACAATCAAAGAAAAATCAGAAATCCAAGCTGTCCACTAGGAAGTTAGCACCTAGCTGGAAATACATGAATGAATATACTTAAAGGTATAAACTGACCTATAGCAGAAAGGAGATAAAAATGGGATACCATGAAAGTCGAGAAAAGGGATTAGTTCTGAATATAAAAATCAAGCTTCTTGAGCGCTAGTGTTTGAACAAATCTTAGAAGGATAGGGAGGGTGGTGGTACAGCGCTGAGGCTAGAATACAAAGCTCTGAAATTACACTCCTTGGGGTCAAATCCTAATTGACAACCTACACAACCATGTGCAGTTCGCTGAAACTTCATTCATTAATTTAACAAATATTAATGGATACCTGCTGTGTGTCAGACTCCCCTGGATGCTTGGGATATGGGCTGCATCAAAAACAGACAAAAATCTCTGCCTTCGTAGAGCTTGTATGCTCATTGAGGAGGTAGACAAGAAATAATAAAGATGAAAGTAAGAAGATTCTGTGGTGTATTAGCAGGTGATAAGAAAAAAACAATAGAGTAAAGGAGATTAGCATTCAGGCATGAAGGGGATGAGAGGAGCCCTGGAAGGCAGGTAGGCCTCACTGAAATGGTGACATTTAAGAAAAGACTTGGGGCTTCCCTGGTGGCGCAGTGGTTGAGAGTCCGCCTGCCAATGCAGGGGACACGGTTCGTGCCCTGGTCCGGGAAGATCCCACATGCCGCGGAGCGGCTGGGCCCGTGAGCCATGACCGCTGAGCCTGCGCGTCCGGAGCCTGTGCTCCACAACGGGAGAGGCCACAACAGTGAGAGGCCCGCGTACCACAAAAAAAAAAAAGAAAGAAAAGAAAAGACTTGAAGGACGTGAGGAAGTTAGTCATGTATTATCTGGAGGAGGAGTATGCCCAGTAGAGGGAACAGCCAGAGCAAAGGCCCTGAGGCAGAAGCACGACTAGCAGGTTCAAGGAAGAGGTTCGTGTAGCTAAAGCAGAGGAAATGAAGGGAAGAATAGCGGGAGATGATGTAAGGTCCTATAGGGCTTCATAAGCCATTATCAGGACTTTGGCTTTCATTCTGAGCAGAGGGCAGCCATTGCAAAATTTGGGGCAGAAGATATGACTTATATTTTAACATTTTCATTTTGACTTTCATGTAGAAAAGAGTCTGTATTGAGGCAAAGGCAAAAGCAAGTATATTAACTGGGGGAGCCAGCTAATCCAGGCAAGAGATGATATTGGTTCAATCCAGAGTAGTGGCAATGGAGGTAAGAAGAAATGATCAGCTTCTGGATATATTTTGAAAAAAGAGGAGTTTACTAACAGGATTTGCTAGCAAATTGAGCTTGGAATGGAAATGATTAAGAGTCAAGGATGATGCCAAGGTTTTCGGTCCTACCAAGAGAAAGGATGGAGTTGCCATCAACTGACATAGGATTCTAGGTGAGGGTTTCAGAGCTGGGGGAACATCAAGACCCCAGTTTTGGAAATGTTAAGTTGGAGGTGACTGCAAGTGCAGGTGTGGAGTAGGCAGATGAACATAAAAGTCTGATGTTCAGGAAAGAGGTCTGGATTGAAGATATACATTTGGGATTCTTAGCATACAAATGGTATTAAAGCTGTAGACTGGATGAAGCCTGGGAATTAAGCGTATATTAGAGAAGAGACCATCAGCACAATCTAATATTAACATTCTCAGAGAGAAAATAAAAGGTAATGGCAAAAAAAGAAAGACTGACAAGGCATCCAGTGGAGTGGAGGGAAAACTAAGATTGTGGTAGCCTGGAAGCAAGGGAAAGAACATTTATCAAAAAGAAATGGGGGCTTCCCTGGTGGTGCAGTGGTTGAGAGTCCGCCTGCCGAAGCAGGGGACACGAGTTCGCGCCCCGGTCCGGGAAGATCCCACATGCCGTGGAGCGGCTGGGCCCGTGGACCATGGCCGCTGAGCCTGCGCGTCCGGAGCCCGTGCTCCGCAACGGGAGAGGCCACAGCAGTGAGAGGCCCGCGTACCGCAAAAAAAAAAAAAAAAAAAAATGATAACAACCCCACATTAGTGGACGGTTAGGAGCAATACTGCAGTAACAGCATAGTGTCATAGGAAGCATGCAATAAATGTTAGCTCATAATAGTAATAGTGGAGGGAGTGGTAATAGAAGTAGAAATGAAAGTAGTGGTATTTATAATGGCATTATTGCAGGAACATCCTTGTGATGCATACAGCAAAATATTTAGGAGAAGTGATTCTACTTCAGCCAGCTGGTCATTAGAGCAGAGATTCTTAACATTTTTTGAGCATGATTCTCTCTGGCAGTCTAATGAAGCCTGTAGATTTCTTCCAAGAATAATGCTTTCTTTCTCAGTGCATAACATATAACACATAGGATTAAAAAAAGAAATTAATTATATGAAAATATGGTAATCAAAGTATTCAGAAAACAAATGTGTTATATGCTTCTTTATTAACACATTAGATTAATATTTAGTAGAGTATCTAAGCAATCTCATAATCTCATCAGAGTGATGACGATGAACAATATTTCAACATCGGCAGCAGGTCTATTGTAGAAAAATATCTTCAGTTTCTATTAGCAAATCTCACAAGTGCTGATGATGTTATTGGGGCTTGTTGCCTACTTTAATAATTGAAATAATTGTTAAATTTCAGTTACAAGTTGTGAAAATAAAGATGTACTTTTTTTTCCACATATGTTCATAGAGCCCTAAATTCTATCCTCGGACCCCAGATTACGAACCCTGGAGGTAGAGTAAAATAAATGCCATATACAGGAAACTGACATAGGAAAATTAATTGATGATATCTAACTTATAATACATGCAGCACAAAATAATGAAATGTTAGCGTATTTTTGTTTTTTAATAAATTAATTTATTTATATTTGGCTGCTTTGGGTCTTCGTTGCTGCACGCGGGCTTTCTCTAGTTGCGGCGAGCAGGGGCTACTCTTTGTTGCGGTGTGCGGGCTTCTCATTGTGGTGGCTTCTCTTGTTGCGGAGCACAGGCTCTAGGCGCGCGGGCTTCAGTAGTCGTGGCTCGCAAGCTCTAGAGCTCAGGCTCAGTAGTTGTGGTGCACGGGCTTAGTTGCTCCGCGGCGTGTGGGATCTTCCCGGACCAGGGATCTAACCCGTGTCCCCTGCATTGGCAGGCGGATTCTTAACTACTGCGCCACCAGGGAAGTCCCTGTTAGTGTACTTTTCAAGGAAGAAAGTTATCCTTAGAACACTCAAGTTAGAACAGGCAGATAACTGAAGTAATTAGCACATTATGCCAATGTCAAAATCTCTGCTTCAATTCTGAATAAGTCCATCAATTTCATATAGAGGGAAAAAATGAGATGTATGCACCCCAGTGAGCTATGTTATTTATGCATGATATTAAACAAAAGGTGGAGAAAGCATGAGAATTGTATTGACCTTTTTCCTCCACTTCTGGGGAAAAAAACTAACAGTATTTTCTCCTGACTCTGCGAAAGCCAATCTATTTCAGTCCGTATCACTCTTTTCCTCTCAAGTGATGAATAGTATGGGCATCACAACATGAGGGGAAAATTTTGAAGGAAGAAAACAATCCAGTTTAATCCACTATCATTACAGAGAGGAAATCAAAATGCTATAAAAACAAAAAATATTTGCTAAAAATGGAAAACCCTTAGTCTATCTAGGAGAGTTTCTACACCTTACTATTGAAGGCTTTGTAAAAAAATATTCTATCCCACATAGTTCAACGATTTATGTTAGCATCATGAGCGCCCTTTGGTAAGTGTTGTGAACTGAATCCTTCTGGCTTCAAATAACTTGATTTGGGTGTGTGCGCCCTTGTGAAAAATTGTTTTATTTTTCTATATTGCATTGTATCGGAAAGAGGAATACATGCAACTTATATTAGCTTTTTTAAAATTTAATGCTGTGATGATTAGCCATTAAAGGCTCTCATGTCAAGGTAAAGAGTGCTCTGTGAAGCACTAACCTTGATCTTGTGGTTCCTTTCCAACAGGGAGTGTGGAGCAGGAACTTTCGTCAATTTTGCATCCTTAGAGCGAGATGGAAAGCTTCCATACAACTGGTGAGTATTGTTTCCGAACAAGTCTCTAGATGGCTTACCTATGCTATGTGTGCTCTCAACTGATTGTACTATCTTTGGGCAATAGATGGTTTTGCCTGATTATCCTTTCATAATTTCGGTGATAGTAGACTTCAAGGTGACATCTACTTCACAGAGCATATTAGTATATATAAGTTTAATTCAGGTAAGAAGGAGAGAAAATGAGGTAGTCTGCTGGGTATTCACTATATTACACAAAGGACTGATGCAGTTGTACAAGTTGCCCACAACTGGGCTGAAGAAGGGTTAATAATACAGGAGCCTCGTGGAACAAGTGTGGTTGAAGGCAGGAGGGGAGACTCCAGGGAAGCAGTGGGAGACAGAGCAGCGTCTCTATTTAAAACTCACATTTCAGTGCCTGGGGATATGAGCTACCCATTCTGTTCAAAAATCAAGCAGAAGTATACAGCCCAGGGCTCTTAGCTCTTACACTTACAGGCAGATAAATATCAAAGCTAAGAAAGTTCCCTGAGAAACATAGCCTCATGTTTCTTTATGCTTGAGTATTAAGGAGGAAGGATGTATTCTGAGAATTAAGAAAGCATTGTCAAGAGATTGAATTTGTTGATGTTATACCTAACAGCGATCCATGGGAATTAACATACATATTAATATATTAATTAATATACAGAGCAATTAATACCCAACAAAATTGCTGATTAACTAACCACTTAATATGAAGCCAGCACTGCTTACGTGATCTAGTTTGTTTCTTTCACAAGCAACCATGCAAAGCACATTTAAATATATACATTTCATGTTACTCCTCAGTAAGTGATTTTTTTTTCTGTTTTCCTAACTCCCCCAAAATGGTTACTCTGACAGAAATAAATATGTAGAGACAGGAAATTTTAGCCGCGGAATTAATGAAGGAGGAATGGCCTTATTTAAACTGTAAATTCTACTTCCCTAAGTGGGACACTAGTTGAGATCCACTCTAGGTGAAAAATCTAGGTGAAATAGGATTCTCTTTAACCAGAAAATATGTTGTACTAGTCTAAAAGTTCAACCAGAATGGAATTTTGCTATTCAAATCTGATTAATTCAACTGTCAAGAGAAACCCATAAACTCTTGCTGGTAAAAAGTTAGAAAACATTTCTAGGTTTGTTCAAATGTAATTAACACCTTTTCCAAGATTAAGAGGCTGACTCACTGCTGTTTGTTTCTTGCCTGGCCTACCCTTAAAAAAGGCCCAGTCGTAGAGCAGTGATGAGGGGCCCATCTAGGAATTGATCCCATTATACCTGTGACTCAGGAGAGCTACGTATTGAGTAACTACACAACTGGTCACAATTTATGGAATTTATGAGAGAACAGTTATGGGAGAACTGAGGCAAAAGAGAATTCATTTCAGGACATTTCTATAAAATTAAGAAAATTCTCTTGCAGCTCTGGGCAAAGACAGTTTTGCCAACACTGGCATTTTCTCGTTAACTGAGAAGACATATCTCAGGGGATATTTGTAATAACTAAAGTGACAAGGTGACATCATTTTTTCCCCTAATTCTCAGAATAACTATAGGTACAACCATAGCCTATTTTAAAATCTGCATTAATAGATGTTCTATTTTAAAAGTGGTCTAAATATCTGAAATTTGATTCAAACCAGGCATTTAAAATTAACAGTCTGCATTAGTGTTAATGTGAAGCTAAGTAATTTTGCTCCTACTCAACTGAGTGTAAGATTAGAAACTAGGGGCTTCCCTGGTGGCGCAGTGGTTGAGAGTCCGCCTGCCAGTACAGGGGACACGGGTTCGTGCCCCGGTCCGGGAGGATCCCACATGCCGCGGAGCGGCTGGGCCCGTGAGCCATGGCCGCTGAGCCTGCGCGTCCGGAGCCTGTGCTCCGCAACGGGAAAGGCCACAACAGTGAGAGGCCGGCGTACCGCAAAAAAAAAAAAAGAAAATTAGAAACTAGACAGCTGATGAGCTACTTATTTTAAATGAATGATACGTGGTTGTCATACCGTACCTCTGTTTTAAGGATTATTTTTTGGAAGTGATATATTAATTTATACTTAAAATAATATAGAAAGTCACACCTAACAGTGCAGTTTTATAAGAATGTGTCCTGAAAGCTTGTTTACCAAAATCAGTATACACAAACTAACCATTTATACTCCATACACAAGCTGCTGTTAGCTATCAAACGTTAGATTTCTTAAAATAGGCTTAAGCATCGCAAGGGTAATACCCAAGAATAAGGCTCGAGATAACGGATGAGGCATTTCAGAGCCCAATTTAACTGAATGCGAAACGTCATCACCTAATAGCAGGCTAATTGACACAAACCAAGTTGAAAGAAATATGTCTGATTACAATAAGATGTGAATAAAACTGATTTTGGCAATATTATAGCACTTAAGTCCTCACGTTTAAATGTCAGAGAATGGAGTATTTAATTGTAATTAACGTGCTTGTCATTTTAATTGATCCCAGTAGGTAATTTACTGTTCACAGTTTGTATTACTAACTCTTGCCACTTTTTCATCTTTACATCTGTTATCTATTAATGCTCACAGGCGTAGGAGTATATTTGCTTTCTTAACCCTGCTACCCTCATGTCTTTGGACTGATTATCTTTTGGCATTTTATATTAATCCTTGGTAAGTGATTTTTTTTTTTTTACTGTTTACAAAGTCTTTAAAAGTTAGCTTTCAAGAAGTAAACCAAAGGGAAAATCCTTTTTAATGATTTTATGTGTTTGAAGCATGTAAAATTATTAATTATGTATTGAAACGGATTAAAGCAGCTAATGGTACCAAGACGCTAACTATAATGTTTTCCCAACTGAATGTTCTTCCTGTGATGTTCTTGGCAAGCTTTTCTTCCATTTATTGCTAAGTTATTTGTTTCTTCATTGAGTCAGTCTATGGCCTCTCATCTGTATAAATGATGCCTTTCATTTTTCTCACCATTTCCATTGATTAAGCTCCCTATTTCCAAGAAGGAAAAAATGCAATCAGGTAGAGAAACCCAGAATACTATGTATTTGGGGCCTTCGTGTTTTTATAATAATGCTCACTCAGCGAATAATAAACAACTGACTGTGTGCAAGCCTCTTAGTATAGTCTTCTCATTTAATTGTCCACACACCTCTGCAGAGATTATTATCAGCACCATTTTACAGATGTGGAAATAGAGGTATAAGGAGACTATCTTAACATCATATGACTATATAGAAAATTCAGGTTCTAAACCCAAGTGTCTCTGAAATCTATTCTTTCCTCTCTAGAAAGCAGCCTCCTATAAATTTTCTTGACTTTTAAATCATTTTAATAATCAAATCTCAAAGAGTATCCTTTACAGTTTTTATAATATACAATAATAATGATTTTCAATTCTGAGACTAAAGTATCTAGAAGGGCTGTTTCTTTTTCTGAGCCATAAGTAAAAAGGTAGCAGTTTCCCAGAGGAAAAAAAAAATCATTATCCTTAATGTTAGTCCATGATGTTTAGGTACTAAATTATGTACAGACAGATCCAGAAACCTGGACAACTTAAGAAGGACTCAGATAAAAGCTATAAAAGTAGTTCATGGACTGGGGAAAAAAAGTTCATGGAGGGTTGGGGGCGGAGTTCAAGATTTAAAGCAATCCGGAGAGTTAGCTATTCAAAAAGACAATTGATCAAACATTCTTTGGCTTCTCCGAGACAGAATAAATACAGTGGGCAAAGTTAGAATTTGAGTTGCAGTGGGAAAAGAATAAAAAAAGAACTTTCTCACAGTGGAGATTGTTAATACCGCAATCTGTATTTTCTTTAAAAGAGAGCTAGGTGGAAAACTTTTGAAATATGGTAGACACTGATGTATAAGCAATAAATTCAGAAGAATGTACTGGATGATGAGGACCCCTTCACCATTATTCTAAGTTGATTCTTAATAACAAGTCTCCAGTGTAGGACTTCCCCGTGGTCAACCAATATTTTAAGTACTTAACATCACATGATACACATAAATTCCATCTTGACTTTCAAAATATACATTTACTTTGAACTTAACATCTACTGATCATCCTCAAGTATTCCACCTATCATTAGAATACTTGTAGCCAATACTGTTAGCGTACCCTCTACAGATTTCAATTAAAACAAAAGAAAGACGCGTGTAATGTTATATTCCTTTCCCTACTTAATTCTCTGACTTTCTCATTTTCCATAGTTTGTTTTAAGCTTATATCAGGCAGGCCTATGCTTGTTTGTATGTCTTTCTTAATAGGTCCCCCTGATGAACACATATTTTGGAATTCTAGCAACTCCTTCAAGGTCTGCTATTTATAGTACTGATCAAATAACATGAGACCTAAGTTAGGGGGGGAAAAAAAACCCTGTAGTAGTTTTTAGAAGAATGGTCCTGAGGCTGAAAATGGTTTTCTCCAGGTGAGAAGAGAAGGCAAAACATAGAGCCCCAGGCTTTCTACACTTTTCGTAAACTACACACATATTAACCAATGAAAAGATACCGAACATAAACTGTTTTCAGCCCTAGACTTGCGCTCTGCCAGAAATAAAAGAGGTAAAATTCATGGTCCCTGATCCTTCAAGCCCAACTCAGTACTCTCACAAATTCACCCGAATTCCCTACTCTTTGCTACTTTTCTCTACATCTAATAAGTTGTGGGTATTCTCCCCTGTTTTCATTTCTATACAGTCTTTTAAAATCCTCCTCTAGATGTGTTTGTCTTCATATTTCACCCACCCGTTAACAACCACCCCAAGAAACAGAGCCACACTCTCTTTTCTTAACACTGCCCGGCTTTGTCTCTTAACTATCAACTTCTTGGAAAGATATGTTCCTGTTGATTGTCTAAAATCCACCTGATGCCTCTGATGGTTGTGTGGAAATCCAGAGACTCTCTACCTCATAGGTTGCTCAAACCTTTTCCCAGGTGGTGGCAGAACCGGTGTAGAGCCTACGTGCCCCATTGGCTTAGTCCCAAGATTGTATTCTGCCAGGATTTCTGACTTTATTGATCTCAGATTGTATTTCCTGTTCAAAGAAAACCATCTCAATTGGACCAGCTCTATCTGGATTCAGTGTTGTTGCTCTCTTTTGTTGCTATCATGGTCACCTCATGCCCTATTCACATTCATCTGTCTGTTTAAATCCCCAGCAGTTGGCATTTTAAGCATGATGCAATATTTAGTTTAAACTGCTCAGCTTTATGCTTGTTGTTGTATGTTCAATTCAGAGGACGACATAACTCTAAAGACCTTTTTTAAGATGTGGGGATGATTTTTGTTTAGCTCATGAAAGAGTAAGTAATGCTTAGGAATTTGTGGTCATTTAAAGTTTTTGACTTTACGGTTTTTGGTTTTAGTTTCTGTTTGTTTTTAACCACTGTGAACCCCACGTCTCTGCCATTGCCTCGTATTCCTCTTTGGAATGAATTTCATTCTGGCGGGCTTTCCAAGATGGTCATAACCATGAAGAACTTACAAAGAATGAATCTTAACTTCTTGACGTCATTAGGGTTTTGAACCTAATCTAGTATAAGGGAAAGAGGAAAGGTAAAAGAAGCACATCATCCTGTATGCATATATACTGTATGTTGGATGCGTGTTATTTATCAGTTATTCAGAAAATCTTTCACAATGATAAGATGATGTCTTCAACATCACCCAAAATGGTCACTGTGGCATGCACACACACGAGCTCTTTCCATAAAGTGCTAAAGTGAAAATTGCTAGCAACACCTGAACTTACATGTTTAAAAGTGAATTATCCCTTGATTTGAGTCTTAGGATCAGCACGGCAATTGAAAATGCAGGAAAATTCTATCAGTGTTGCTGTGGAGTCTCATAATTCAGTCCTGTCTTGTACCACAGCCTTAAGATACAAGAACCCTTTGGGATCTTCAGGAATTCAGCAAAATCTAATCAGAACAATGAAAGTTGTACACAAATCATGAAGACATACACTTAAAACAAGAGGTCATACAAAACGTGGTAGAATTTCATATTATATTTAAGGTTCATTCAATCAGTGAATGAGACTGAAAGAAAAAAATACTGCCTCTCTTCCATGAATCAGGTTTCCACACAGCTGTGGAATAGTAGTGACTTAATATTTCAGCACTGAATTTATTCAGTGTCACCCTACCACATATATTTGTTTCTTCCCAGTTTCCCTTAGTCTGTTTGGATTTGGAAAGGTTTTGTGTTTTTCTTTTTTTAATTTCACTCTGAATCACAAAATATGTTGGCAGCCTCCTGACATTATCAGAACTGTTCCTTATTATGCTAACATTATGTTTTTATCAAGCACTAAAGTAATGGGCTCCTACTATGCGAAGTAAATATAGGATTCCTAACGTTAACTAAATTAGCATCACAAGAGCAGAGTAAAAGAATTATTCAAGAGGTATACCATGACAGTGGTCTTTTGGGGGGGATGAGGGAGAGGTGAAGTAAAACTAGAATGTCTATTACCTCTAAATTCCAAGTATGGAAAACCAAGAGAGGATGAGGGAGAAAAAATAGGACAAGAACTATTAAAATGTACTGTCTTCACTCAGAATTGAGAAGAAATAAAAACTATCTGAAACTAGAAAAGGAAAACCAGAAACACCACTTGCCTTTATGGATATTTCCTTTGCTGCATTACTTCCTCTCCACCCACAAGTGCCATTTCCCCAGTGGGATCCCTCAGGAGCCCAAGTCTAATATCAAATCCTTAATTGCATCATTAGAAAAAATTGTGAGAATGACATAACAAAGATGTGTTGTTTCAATTCAATTAAATAAGCATTTATTGGCCACCTCCTAGTGTTCCATTAACTGTGCTCAGCTCTGGGGGACAAAGGACAGTCTAGCAAGGAGCACATATACAGCTGATGGTCAGACCACGTAAGAAATACTCATGAACCAAGTGCTATGAAAGCCCAAAGGAAGTAGTGCTTCATTCTGCTAAAGGCTTTCCAGAAATGCGGGTACCCAAGCATTCCTAATTTTCAATATAAATAAATATTTTGGCACATAAAAGTACTCAGATCACACCTGGCTATTTACTATCAATTGTTTATGTTCTGAAAGTCTGGGTGCTTCCATCAATATTTCAAGACCTTTGAAAATTACTTATAAAAATTGTCACACTCAATCATGTATCAATATCATTTATATAAGACAATCTAAACACAATAATGAAGCCTTCAGCAGATACTATCTTAGCATTAGCTAACTTAGGTCAGTTATCTTATGTGTTGGTAGAAAATTGTTCCCCTTTTAAAAAAACCCTAAAAATATAATAAACTGAAACATACGTTAGTATTACATGTGTCTGAGCTTGCAGACTAGCAATGAATTCAGAACAAGCAGGTAATAGGTATAGTTCCTCAGATAGCTGAAAAACTAGTTCAAAACTGAATAAGAACAACACCGTAATAGAATACATGACACGTGACAACACTGATAGCACAAATTCACATTCCCGATGAAAATGTCCGAAAAGGTTATTTTGTTCCTTAATTTAAAGACCATTATGTCCATCCTCCCTCCACCAGTTCTCATCTTTATTCCCCGATTCTTTCCTTTTGCCTGTAGAATCTGGAGTATTTAGACAGGAAATACTTCTATATATTTACAAAGCACTTCAGCAACTTAATCACCAGGAGCAAGAAATTATATTTCTAGAATTCAGTTTTTTGGCAAATCTAGAACATAAAGTGTAGGTATGGCCCAGAAATCTAACAGAGTTTTAAAACATGAATCTGGAATTTTTATCATTATCTTCTCATTTAAGGGGAAGTAATTAAACAAGCATGAGGTATGTTTAATAAAAATTAAATAAAATGGCAGTGCCTGATGTAATTATTTAAAGTTCTTCAAGTTTAATCATTTTGTTAATCAGTTCTTCTGCCCAGATAAATTTGCTTCTCTTTTCTTAATTCACAGGAGTAAAAATGGTTTAAAAAAGAGGAAACTGACTAAGTAAGTTTTTCTTACTATTTCATTTAAAAATATTCTTTATAATGATCTTCACTTTCCAAACTGAAAAGTTTGCTGTCTTTAAATAGAAGGGATGCTTAAGAAAGAGGCAAATGCATATTAAAATAGCTAAGCTATTATGCGTAGGTGTGTTTACACATATGGATGGCAGTGACCACCAAGAAAGTGTACCAACAGAAACCATGTCAGGAATAAGGAAAATTCTCACCACGTGAAATCTGAAAAGGAATGGTTTGTTAGGAATTATAAGTCTTACAGAAGGAAGTCTACTATTCTAAATCTATAAGGAATCTAATATTTAGCTACATCAAAGTAGTACAAAAACCTTTGACATTTTGTATCTTCAAATTTCGTGCCTATTGCAGGGAAAGGCTGTTACTCTGTTGGATGTTGTAACAAATACTTGGATAAATGCTGTCTCAGGAAATCTTTATAATAAACAGAAAAGGATAAATACTTTAGCTAACCTGTGGTTTCACTTATCTACTGAACTGTTAGTCATAAGAGTTATAATTCTGATGGGTGAAAATGAACAGTCAGTTGATTTCAAAAGCCTAATTAGAGTATCACCTCCAGGCCTTTAGTTAAAAACTCTTCATATAAAGAGTGGACCATTCCTATAAATAGAGTTCATTCTTGATACTTGCCTGGGATAGAATATTGGTGAATTCATTAAGGAGGCAGTTAGGGGTCCCAGCCAAATCTATGGTATCTGTGCTAATGGAATACATAACACAAGAGAAAAATTGATGCAAAATATTTCTCTTCAGCTTTGAGTGACATATAATATTTTGGCACATATAGACGACAGAATAATTTTTCCCTAAATCTATTTCAAATCAGTACGGATTCTATTGGCATATATCAAGTGATGCAGGAGAGACGAGACCAGCCAAAGCAGAGGAGCGGTGCTGTCAGCCCAAAGGAATGATTTGACAGAAACGGAAAGACTTTCTTGCCCAAAATTATTAGTTGGGTTGTTAAGTGAAGCAGAGGCATAGACTAGAGCAGTTAGAGGACAGGGTCTTGGGACCAAAGGGGGGCCCAAGACCCAAGCAGAGAGGAGAAGCAGGATGTGGACCAAAGTTTGAGTGGAGCGTAGACATGGTGGAACCTGCCCACAAGCCAAAACCTCGAGTCAAACCAGCTTCCGCCTTCCCTCTTCTCATTTTCCTTCTCATCCTCCCTCCTTCTCTACAAACCTTTTTTTTTTTTTTCCAGCTTCTAGCGTATTGTTATTGATAAAAGTAGAGAATGGTAAACTTTGTCTGTAAAGTAGACCCACGATGGAGAAATGGCAGTGGATCTGGGTATCAAGCAGTGGATAAGCTTCTACAAGCCATTTTTGAGGGACTCCTCCCATCTTTCCATTTACTTTCTCTTTACATTTTCTCTTTCACTCCAAATGCCCCCCCACTGCCACCACCCTGCTCCTTGGCTCTCCTTGCCCCTCCCCCCTTACCCTCCCCCCTTACCGCAGTAAGCTCTTACCTCGCCCCTCCTTTCCTCACCTCCTCTCCCTCTAAACCTTTGTCCCACTGATAGATCTCTGCTCCTTCCCAGTTTTCTTTCTCTTCTCCTTACCATTCTCCTCCTCTCCCTGATGTTCATTCTTCTACTTCCTGGGTCCTTCCTCTGACTCTCTTTCCCCTCTCCATCCTGCTTTTGCTTTTTCTAACCCCATTTTCCTCTTAATGAGATGAGAACCAGCCTCATCAAGTCCAACTTCAAGGTCAACGCACTGCCAAGACAGCAGGGAAGGATCACCCCACCCTGCCCCCGTTTAGCTGTTTCTTTTGGAAGGGTGGCAAAGTTGAACGAAAAAGCTTTTAACCAGGAGTCCTTCTCCCTGCTTCTACCCAGGGTTCTCCAGCTTAGTAGCCCTGAGATCTTGAACTACTCATTTGACTATCTCAGCCTGGGTTCTCTGTGGAGTTCCATCTGGAGTGTGGGGCTAATGTCATCCAAGTCTACCTTAACCATCAACCCAGCAAGATGACGCATAAGAATATTTAGGGTGTCTTAAGGGTACAAGGCATTCATGTTATCATTATGAAGTAAAACCATTAAAATTTGAATGTATTATCTGGGAGGTATAATACCCTTAAAAATCAACTAAAATCTTAACATAAATTAATCTATCAGATTAGCTAATCGACAACTTTGAACAAATATCTATCATATACTTTGTATTTGCTAATAGGGCATAAGACCACAGATAGATGATATAAGCTAAGTAATTTGCAGCAAGACGAAGGGAAAGGTCAAGTCTGTACACCCTGTCAAGGTGGAAAGGCTTGGGTTAGGTGACAGTGCGGCATCCTGAAGAAGCTCAGGGAACAGGTTGGCACGGGTAGGCTCTAGAAGAGATAAGCAGCTAGAAAAAACCACAGGAAATAAAACCGAATTCTTATTCAAAAAAAAAACAAAAAACAAGGAAGAAGGTGAGCACTTCTGCTACTGATGTAGAAACATAAACTCAGATGTGTTACTTGATTGTCCTGAACCATTTTGCTATGCAAGGCTCTGAACACAACTCTGAGAGAGAGAGAGGGAGAGAGAGAGAGAGAGAGAGAGCGCTCTGAGAGCTCCCTGGAGAAATGTTTCCTGCCAGGACACTGCCTTTGCTCTGGGAAGACAGTGCAGCACAATTCCTTACACTTGTAAAGCTGTTTAAACTTCCATGTTTCTGTAATCTGTAACATACTGTGTGTCAACCTTGTGATGTAGGTATCACTCTGATTTTTCATAGATGAGCATGTTAAATCTCAGAAGAGTTAGGTAAATAAAGTAAAACTATAATTCGAACAGGTCTTCAGACTAATCCTTTGTTTTTTCCCATAAACTGGGGTTTTCTAGAAACAACACATATACCTGTGAGTGTATGAGTGTGTGTATATGTAATATTTTACTGCTAAAGTAAAAGCCAATTAAAAATCTAGAGGTTTCTCCTATCCTCAAGGAAGTTTAATATATAGGGCTCTCTTTTTAATTATAATATATTAGTGACTGGTAACTTTAACCAAAAAAAAAAGAGTGCTAACCTCTGAGAAGTAAGAAGAAAATTGCAAGAAAATTGTTCATGTTTGAGAAGTATGGCGTTAAACGCTATATGACACCTATCAACAGGATTTTTAAAACATACCTTTCTTTGTATTTGACAAAGCCCGGTGCAACTGGATGACTTTGACGCCTACATCAAGGATATGGCCAAAGACTCTGATTATAAATTTTCTCTTCAATTTGAGGTGAGTGAATAAAGTTTTTCCTACCCTCTGTGGGCAGGGGAATTGGCAGCTTTGTACCAGTGTCATTCCCCTGCTCACTAGGCAGTCCTGGTGGTGTGGTTCATAATGGACAGGATGGTAACTGGGCTTGGGGGTACCTAATGTGCTGGTTCAGAGCCAGGATGTCAACCCTTAGTTAGGAGGTCAGGGTTTGGGTGGCACGAATGAAAGAAAGAAGAGAAGAGATGCAGGTACTGCGGGTGCTGGGGTGAACAAACATGGTAACAGAAGTTTTCAATGGTAACATTGAAAACCATGGGGATGGAAAGTGCAGGGAGAAAGCAAGCTGAGGATTGAGGTCCGGAACAATTTCTCTTTCAGGGGATTTTTAGTGTGTTTCTCATGCCACTTAGGACACAGTTAGTGTGGGTGGTGGATGAATTGGACCCCTTTGTCTCCTGAGCATATAAGAGCCTGATGTCTCTTTTGCTGTAGGACTCTTGGCATTCTACTGCACATGTCTTTGTGAGGTTTTGTTTTCTTTTCTTGGAGAAATTGGAGAAAGAGAGTTACACATGCTTTGTGTAAAAGAAGAACAAAATTGGAAACATCTTTTTCTGAAGCACACATATTTCTTTGATTCCAAGAACGTGTCAGAGTAGATGGAAAAGGGTCTAGGATCTCAGTAGTGTGAGGGATACAACTGGTCCTCAGGTTTTCTTCCCACACATTTCACAGCTCAGAACATAGTCTGGATAGCCTCCCATTCTTCAGGCTTTCACCGAGGCTCAGGGAGACCAGGGAGAAGGGAAAGATAAAGTGACTTTTCTAAATTATGTCATTTTTTTTTAAAGCCCCTTAGCTGCTTTTCCTGTGAGACACCAGGTGGTAGAATGTAGCTGCTCTCTCCTCATTATCCATATTCATTTCTTCTTTCCTCACATCAGCCAAGGACAGCTTTGTTCTGCAAGAATCAGCAGGAATCCTGGTATGGATATTCATTCTAACAGGGAATTTAAGGATGAGAAGAATCTTATACATTAGCAAATACAAAGCCCCCAAACTGTCACCTGTGTCATGAGAAATGCCACATAAAGCCTGGCTCAGTCATCCACTGTACGCAGGTGCATGAGAAATTATAAATGCTACACCAAATGCTATAGCTCGAAGAACAGAAACTCAATTTGAAATGGAGATCTATGGTGAGGATGGCGTTTCAGAAGAGTATACCAACGAAAGGAGGACGCTTTTTATAAGAAAACATAAGCCCAAACTCAGAAGAAAATAAATATCTAGATAATTCTGATAAAAATTATATTGTAGTTACACTTTCTATTTTTTACCTTTTTTTTTTTTTTTTTTGCGGAGCACAGGCTCCAGACACGCAGGCTCAGCGGCCATGGCTCACGGGCCCAGCCGCTCCACGGCACGTGGGATCTTCCCGGACCGGGGCACGAACCTGTGTCCCCTGCATCAGCAGGCGGACTCTCAACCACTGCGCTACCAGGGAAGCCCAGCCACAGTCTCTTAATTCCTACCAGGTGATATGACCTTGGTGGAACAGCCAGGGTCACTGCCTTTCCTGGAAGGATTAGGAGTACCCCCAGTTCATGTCATCAAACCCCAGTGTAACTATTACTGTGCTTCTGAATTGCATCATTATAAAAAATTCAGTGAATCATTTTCTGGTAAAAAGAAAATATTTTTTTCAGTTGTGAATGACAGAAATACAATTCAAACTAGTTTAGACCAAAGAAGAAGGGAGTTTGTTCGAAGGATAACTAAGGTGTCTCATATAATCAAAGGAAAGGTTGAATAGCTAAACCAGGAGGAGAGCAGGGAAGCAGCTCAGTCTCAGGAATGGCTGGAATCAGGGGCCACACACCTGAAAAGACCCCCTCTTTTTATTTCTCATTTCTACTTCTCTCTTTGTCTTGGCCTCACTTTCTTTGGCTGCAAACCAACCTCTTTCTCATAGTGGAAAACGCGACCGCAATCAGCCTCGGAGTATCACACCTATGGTTGCCAAAGGGAGTCATTGACTGTCTTTCTTGTTCGTAGTTTAAAAAATAACAGGGGAGGATTCTGATTGGCTGGCATGGCTAATGATGTCTGCTCACACTGTCTGCAGCCTGGGAGGGCAGAATTACGGAAGAAAAGGACAGTTCTTATTGGTACCATGTGGATAAACCAGAAACCAAGAGCATTATACCCAAAGAGAGGACCACGCAATAAGTGATTAGATCTGAGCTTCAGCTGCTTCAAAAATGTGAAAAGTTGAATGGTCAATTTTATGACTAAATATTCAGTTTACAATATGCTGAGGGCTTCTATATATTCAAGGTATAAATGAACACATTCAAGCTTATTTCATAGGATTTATAACGCAGATAGGAATGTACCAAACTGAGAGTCCAAAAACCTGGATCCTCACTACTGCTTTCCCACTAATTAATATAGGAAAAAATCAGTTTCTCATCACCTCAGTTTCTTCATCTCTAGAATGGGTAAGTTGAACACAGAGTGGTTCTCAGCTGGACCTGTACCAGGCAGTGCCCTAGGGGGAGTTTGGGGGTGTGTGGTCTCCTAATGGCTTGGGAGTAGTATTTAATGGGGAAAGGGACAGCAATGTTAAGTGTTCTGCAATGAGTGGGACAGTCTCACACAATAAAGAATTGTCCCAAGCCAGTAGTATTCCATGGAGAGACACTGGACTAAATTGGGGACAAGGTTACATCGAAGCTTTATAATTCTTACATATTAGTCAGGGTTCTCTAGAGAAACAGAACCGATAGGAGACATATACATTATATATATATATATTTATATTTATACATATGTATACACATATATAATATATGTTAATTATATTATTATATAATTATATTATATGATTATTATATAATTATATTTTATAATATGAAGATCCTATATATGATAATACAATAGAAGATAGAAGCTGATAGATAGATAGATAGATAGATAGATGGAGAGATTTATTTGAAGGAATTGGCTCACACAGCTGTGGCAGCTGGCAAGTCTGAAATCTATAGGGCACCCAGGGACGAGCTGATGTTGCCACTCAAGTCCAAAGGCAATCTGGAAGTAGAATTCCTTCCTCCTCAGGAGACCTCAATCTTTTAAGGCCTTCAACTGAGTGATGAGGTCCACTCACATTATGGAAGGTAATCTGCTTTCTCAAGTCTACTGGTTTAAATGTTAATTACAGCTAAAAAAATACCTTCATCCAACATCTAGACTGATGTTTGACCAAGCAACTTGGCGCTATGAGTAGCCAAGTTGACTCATAAAATCAGCCATCACACCATGACCTGAAGACATGTTTAGTAATTTTTGTTTATTTTAAGGATATTTTTTCATATCCCTTTGTTCTTAGAACATCATTGGTCAAACATGTAATTTATTTGGTGCCAAGTCCTGATGTTGTCTCTCTGCTCTGGTGAGAAAATACAAATTACTCTCCAGAAGTCTGTTTTAAATCACAGGCTCAGACTGTAGGTTTTGGACTAACGTTTGCTTAAGCAGTGACCTAGTGGTCTGACTCACTTCCTTTTTCATTTGACAGCCTCCCAGGAATTGCCAACCTCCAACTCCACCCAACCGCACATCCTCAGGTTCAGTGTCAGAGTAACCCCATCTATTTTCAAAGACCCATTGTGCTTTCATACCTGACTTCAGGGTGAATGTCAAACCTTTCACGTGGCAGCCCTCAAATTTTCCTGAACTTGATAATTAATGGAGGCTTAAGAAAAAAAAATGTTTCTTGCTCTAATGGGACCCCAAGAGGGTATAGAGATGGCTGAATCAATTGGGCTAGCTAAATTCAGTCTCGGACAGTTATTTGTTCTGTTTCTATTAATGCTTACTACCTGTATTCATGTTGACACTGACATGGAAAGATCACACTCATATTGAGACGTTATATCATTTATAGACATCATGCAAATTGAAACTGTCTGGATTTACATGTATTACCAGTACCAGTCATACATGAAGCTACACGAGTTGCTAATTTGCATTCACTGAATAAATTCCTTTTTCACTCTGTATCTGATTTCAGATCTGTTGGGAAGATTGATTATCCTTCTGATGAAAATATACATCTTTTCTTAAGGAGGTTTGGGACCCGGGGATTAGATTCAATTTCTCATTTCTATTGTCTCATGTTGAGAACGTTTCAAAGAGCCAGAATTTAGAGCTTGGAATCTGAGATCCCATAAGACGTAGCACGTATTGTTCATTTTGCCATTAATTTCTGTACTTTGTGTTTGATCAGGATGCTAGGAAAGCCCTCACTACCTTTGTTTGGAGATGTGGCTGCATAGGTTAGAACAAAACTATATCACTTGCCACATAGTTCATAGGAGATGATCTTTGATTTCTGATGGTAGCTCCCATTTGTAGCTGTTTTGTTTTTTTTTTAAAACCTTAACTATTTATTTATTTTTTGGCTGAGTTAGGTCTTCGTTGCTGTTCACGGGCTTTCCCTAGTTGCGGGGAGTGGGGGCTACTCTTCGCTGCAGTGCGTGGGCTCCTCATTGCAGTGCCTTCTCTTGTAGTGGAACATGGATTCTAGGCATGAGGGCTTCAGTAGTTGTGGCACGCGGGCTCAGGAGTTGTGGCTCACGGGCTTAGCTGCTCCACGGCATGTGGGATCTTCCCAGACCAGGGATCGAACCTGTGTCCCCTGCATTGGCAGGCAGATTCTTAACACTGCACCACTAGGGAAGTCACTGTAGCTGTTTTTATTTGTGTTTCAGTACAGTTCCCTGGAGACCTACCTGCAGCATTGCTGAAATAAGTCAACTCACAGCCTCTCCAACAGTTCTTACAGAAGGGGTCTTACTTTTTTCCCAGACCTGAGTTTCCTCTGCTCTCATTCCTTATTGCCTAGGTTTTGGTCTCTGTTTCCAAGTGCCTGTACCAGTAATTTGTCTAGTGATTGGAACGTTACCCCTAAATCCCATCCTAGAGCCCAGGGCCCTACTAGCTATTGCTAGACTGTCCTGAGGTTGACATCCTTCTTACCCAGTATTACATCAGGTGTCCAAGTTTCCCATTCTTCCTTCAGAGTACCTGTTATAGGTGTTGGAGCCCTAATTGCGTAGTTCTCCAGAATATGAACTTATTTGGAAATAGAGGCATTGCAGATGTAATTAAGATGAGGTCATCCTGGAGTAGGGTGGGCTCTTAATCCAATATGTCTAGGGTCTTATGAAAAGATAGCCATGTGAAGACACAGAGACAAAGAGAGAGAATCCCATGTGATGACAAAGGCAGAGATTGGAGTCATGCACCTGCAAGTGAAGGAAAACCAAGGATTGCCAACAAACCATCAGAAGCTAGGAAGAGGTGTGCCCCTGTAGGTTACAGAGGGCATATGTCCCTGCTGACACCTTGATTTCGGCTTTCAAGCCTTCATTATTATAAGACGATAAATTCCTGTTAAGCCAGCAGTCCCCAACCTTTTTGGCACCAGGGACCGGTTTCGTGGAAGACAGTTTTTCCACGGCCCGGGGGTGGGGGTGGGGGTGGGGATGGTTCAGGCAGTAATGCGAGCGACGGGGAGTGTTAGATGAAGCTTTGCTCGCTCGCTGGCCCGCCACTCACTTCCTGCTGTGTGGCCCGGTTCCTAGCAGGCCGTGGTCTGGTACCGGTCCGTGGCCCAGGGGTTGGGGACCCCTGTGTTAAGCCACCCAGTTTGTGGCACTTTGTCACGACAGCCCTAGGGAACTAATACAGAACATCACTAAATACCTTGCTCTAAATCCTTTCTTCTCCCTTTGCGTTTACCTGAAAAGTAACCAGTCATTGCCCAATCCCATTGGACCTTTCACTGGCCATAGATGGAACCTCTTATGTCAACAACACAGGTCACATTGTTTCTCCTGACTTGTCCTGTAGTCTAGTCATCTATCTCATTTGATTCTAATGTCCAACCTCATCTGAAAGAAAACAACAAATGCTTATCACCTGTTGACATTGTTACAGACTCTAAAGCCAGAATACAGCTTGTGCTCTTCCAAGAAGATGTGGTACATCTTATGGAACGAAGGTATCCCCCACCTTCCCAAATTCATATGTTGAAGTCCAAGCCCCAGTGTGATGGTATATTTGGAGATGGGGTCTTTGGGAAGTGGTTAGGGTTAGATGAGGTCATGAGGATAGGGCCCTCATGATGAAATTAGTGCCCTCATAAGAAGAGACACTAGAGACGTTGCTTTCTCTTCTCCCCAACCCCACCATGTACACACAAAGAAGAGATCAACTGAGCACACAGTAAGACGGTGGCCATCTACAAACCAAGAGAAACCTCATAATGAAACCTACCTTGCCAGCACCTGATTCTTGGATGTCCTAGCTTCCAGAACTATGAGGAATAAATTTCTGTTTCACCCACCCAGCCTAAGGTATTTTGTTATGGCAACCCAGGCATACAATGCATGTGTTTGTGCCCCGCTTTTCAAGACCATATGCTTCAAACACAGCCAAAACAGCACACACTGCCATTGGCTTCAGTGACTGTATCGGTTTCCTAGGGGGCTGCCACAACAAATTACCATAATCTTGGTGACTTAAAACAACAGAATTGTACTCTCTCACAATTCTAGAGGCCAGATGTCTAAAATTAAAGCGTTAGCAAGGCCATGCTCCCCCTTTGAAGGCTCTAGGGGAGAATCCTTCTTTGTCTCTTCCAGTGGCCCTGGGCATCTTTGGCTTATAGCTGTATAGCTCTAATCAATGCTTTCACCCTCATATGGCTTCTCCTCTTCTCTCTTTTATAAGGACACTTATCATTAGATTTAGAGGCCACCCAGATAATACAGGATGATCTTATCTTATGATTCTTAATTACACCTGCAAAGACTCTTTTTTCCTAATAAGATCACATTCACAGGTTCTGGGGCTTCCGACATGGACATATCTTTGGAGGGATTATCATTCAACACTATGGATGACTATGTAACCTAGAAAAAAACCCCACAATGATAAATTATATTAGAAACAAAACTGGCGAAAGAAAATTCAAAAATGACTTATGTTGGTTTCAGGCCATCACCTCATACTTTGCCTTCATGAAGATTGAAGCCTCTGGAGTTTCCATGTGGTTGGAAAAAAAATAACTGCAAAGCTACTGGGCTGGAAACTTAGTATTTGATTTTCCACTTAGTGACAGGCTGAATTACAAAAGATTGCAAGGCATTTTGTGTATACATGCCATTCCTGCTTTGCTGCAATGTAACTTTGGCAATTTACATTTACAGTATTCAGCCAACTAAATCACTCTTATCAACTTAGGGCATTTACAGCAGGGAGGCAACACACAATTAAAGTTCTATCAGTTAGTCAGCTTCCATATGTGCTCCAGCTCTCAGCCTCAATCTGTTTCCACAGTTTCTTTTGGTACCGGAGGGCTTTTCCTGTGGCTTATCAGTCTGTCCTCAAAGTGGGGCTTTATTGGGGGAGAGTTGTTCAGTTAGCACAAATGGCAAAGGAGGGAGAAATTATGGAGCCAGAATCAAAGAATCATAATGGAAGCATTTCACAATCATGATCAATAGTGCTGCATTAATATTTATTGAGTTTAATCATTCCATTTGATAGTCACTATATACCAGTGAGGTATGGAAAAATTATGAGCCTTATCTTACAGATAATTAAACTGATGTTAACGAGAGTTGAAATACTTTTTCAAGACCCTGCAGTTTATAAGCGGTCCACCAAAATAAGCCAGATATTTTGGCAAACTATCTATAAAGACACTCCCCAAAGGAGGTAGATTTCCAAAATATTTTAAGCAATGGAAACATCATTTAAGTACGCTTATAGCTGCCAAGAGGAGCTAACCTAAAAATAACACTGATTTGGTTGAAGTTTGCTAAAAATAAATTTTGTTTCTTATAAGAATAATATAATCAGTCTTTGACAACCCTTTAAAATGGAAAAAACAGTTATAAAGGAAAAATGACAAGCTTCTGTTTAAGGGCATTTGGCAAGCAAGGGTTTTGCCCGAGATGAAAAAAAACTTCTAAATTTGTAAACTGAAGATCAAAGTCAGCATAGTTGGTCTTAAGGTTGACTTCGACTTGGGCCAAGAGCTCGCAATTTTGTGAGCTTGGAAAGCCAACAGTGATAGAGAGAAATCTGGACAATTAGATCAGTTCATCCATGTTGACTGCAGCTTGCATTCCAATGCCATTAAACACACACACTAAGCTACCAAAGAACTTCTTTGTGGACGTAGCAGACATCCCAAGAACTGGGTGTCTACAACATTTGCTTTGCATGGGTACTTGAATCAAGACACTGAACGCACACACACCAAAAAAATTCCCTGCTCAATCTCTCAAAACATCATCAAATGTTTCCAACTCCCTTCAAAACTCTTTCAAAGACTCTCCAAAATTCTTCCCCCAGAGAAGTATTCCTCCAGCTTATGATTCTTTAAGGTAATAATTGGGAGGAATCATGAAGAATAGCATCCCATACATGTAAATTAAATTTCCAGCAAGTGGTGTCTCTACTTGTTCACTTAATAGTCTTATAGAAAAATGCATACTATACATGTAACCCCATTCCTAGATGGTTAGACAGACTGTTTACTAATATTGCCCTCGGATTTGTATGGGATTTGCTGCGTTGGTCATGCGCTGCACAATTCCAGGGAGCACCATTTATGTAGACCACAGAATAATTGATACCCCCGGAGAAAGGCGGCTTGACTCCAACCCCTGTTTCCTATCAGACACATGTCGTGGAAGCTTAGAAACCCCCTTTTCCAGTAACATAGATTTTCTGAAGTATGTTTGCTGTCTGTTTATATAAAAATTGCTTTATCAGTGCACCTTCTGATAATAGAATTTATAAGAGTAATGATACACACAAACAGATACTTGGATGTTCCTCTTTTCATGGAAGGGTTTGCCTACCCACTACTGCGTCATCCTTATTTTGGGGTTTTATTACCAGATTTTAGTGACTGTCAATCCTATATCTTGTAACGTGGAGAATGTGCCCTACTTCTTGTTCCTCACTCTCTCCTTCTCTACCTTCTCAAAAGCTCATCACCTTCAGGAGAAATACCTACAATTCCTCATAGACTAGGAAATATTTATGCAAACTGCATAAGTTTCAGTTACCCTGTACCTCCAAAAATCTGAAACCTACTTCTGTTTTCGAATTTTCCATACCCCTGAGTGTAATGCATATAATTCTTACCTTCTCCAAGTGATCACTTAGCTATCCAAGGTCTTTATGTATTACATCAGTCAGCTATTACTGCAATAATGCTATATAAGAAACGACCTCAAAACCTCAGTGACCTACAACACTTATTTTTCTCACTTGTGGCTCTGTGGGACAGAGGAGATCATTCTACTTCAGGCTGTGGGTCAGAGTCTGTTCCATGTGTCTTCTCATCCTGGGACCGGTAGCTTTCCTGGGCATGTTCTTTGCCAGCAGATGGCAGAAGCACAAGAGAACAAACCAAGCTGAGCAAACACATTTAAAGCTTCTGATTGGACGCGAGTTCTACCCAACTTCACTGGCCAAAAGCAAGGTGGCAACAGTAGGATGGAGAAGTACACTCTGCCCCAAAAGGGAGCCACTGTGACATCGTAAAGCAAAGGGGGTGTGATGATTGTGATCATTCTATTAGAGGCAGGAAGTGAAGAATAATCCAGCATGAGCAATAAACCGATGTGAACAATAATGCAATCCATACCATGTATGGGGATCTCGAATCTATTCTCTGTCATTCACAGGAGTTGAAGCTGATTGGACTGGATATTCCACACTTTGCTGCAGACCTTCCACTGAACCGATGTAAAAATCGCTACACAAACATCCTACCATGTAAGATTGTCAATAACGCCGACCCTACTCATATCTTCCCGAGGCTGAAGGGCTGTTACTGAAGAGTAATCAGTTTCAGGGGCCTCTGGCCAGACCCAGTAATGGTCTGCATCTTCAAAGCCATCTGTGATTGCATTGATCACACTGGTGTTTGATGTCAGTAGGTCCTGTCATATGTAGGAAAATTTAATAATTATGCTTTTAAATCAATTGTATCCGAACAGAAAAGACCGACCATTTGGCTTTTCGGAGATCAAAAAGTATTCGCCAAATTAGGGACAAGATAATCTGTGCTCATAATCTATTTTTCAGTCAGTTCATTGACAATGGAAGGAAGCAAATGGAAAGGGAGGCAAGGTGTGAAAACACCTCTCTTCTTACTTCTGGCAAATTCTGCCATTCCTTAGCATTTTGTAATAAAAGCAACATTCAAAGAACAAAATAATGCCATTTGCAGCAACATGAATGGACCTAGAGCCTGTCATGCTGAGTGAAGTAAGTCAGACACAGAAAGACATATACCATATGATATCGCTTACATGCGGAATCTAAAAGGGCACAAATGAGCTTATCTACAAAACAGAAGCAGAGTCACAGATGTAGAAAACAAACTTGTGTTTACCAAGGGATAAGGGGGGGCGGATAAATTGGGAGATTGAGACTGACATATACACGCTACTATATATAAAATAGATAACTAATAGGGACCTATGGTATAGCACAGGGAACTCTACTCAATACTCTGTAATGGCCTCTATGGGAAAAGAATCTAAAAAAAAAAGAGTGAATATATGTATATGTATAACTGGTTCACTGCTGTACAGCAGAAACTAACACAACACTGTAAATCAACTAGAGTCCAATATATTTTTTTTAAAAAAAGCAACAAAGAAAAAGTAGTATAAAGTACTTACAGGACAATTAAAATACCTTCCAATATAGATTTAACTTTCCTCTCTGCTACACTCTAGGGGGAGCTGGGAAAGAAGGGAAAAGTGCAAAGCTCTAGAAAAAGAACTCCCTCCTTTAAAAAGGTTCTTGACAAAATTAAGTAGTATTATCATTACAACACCTTACTTCTGTACACATTTCAGGATTTACTTTTTTCATGTGAAGTCCGTTTACAAAAAGACCATCAACTCCATCTTCTCTTCTCGAGGCTTCCCAAAAGTAGTGAATTCTCTGGATGTCCCTGAGTGAAATGGAAATCCTGTGTTTAGGCTACATTCTATGGCCTTCCACGCAACCTACCAAATATTTTAGTTCCTGTACATATTCTCCACAATCCCCAAAAAACCTGGAGACTCTTTCAAGGACAGGAGGGCTGAGGGGAGGAAATATTGGTGGGGAGATATTTATATATTTGTTTAAACCAGAAGCTAAGATTGAGATAGGCTAAAATATTAAGCTAAAATAAATTTTATCTACCTAGCATATCACTGACCGATTTGACTTGGTACTGAGTACAGATATTGGGTACAGAATTGTCTTGACAAGTCTTCCTTCCACTCTGATTTTTTTTTTTTCTGGTTCATTTGTTTTGTTTTATATCTGTTAATCCCGAACTCCTAATTTTTCCCTCCCCACCCCTTTCCCCTTTGGTAACCATAAGTTTGTTTTCTTTTTGTGAGTCTGTTTCTGTTTTGTAAACAAGTTCATTTGTATCTTTTTTTTTTTTTTTTTAGATTCTACATATAAGTGATATCACATGATATTTGTCTTTGTCTGACTTACTTCACTTAGTAAAATAATCTCTGGGTCCATCCATGTTACTACAAATAGCATTATTTCATTCTTTTTTATGGCTGCGTGATATTCCACTGTGTACATATACCACACCTTCTTTATCCATTCATATGTTGATGGACACTTAGGTTGCTTCCATGTCTTGGCTATTGTAAATAGTGCTGCCATGAACATGGGGTGCATGTATCTTTTTGAATTAGAGTTTTCATTTTTCTGGATATATGCCCAGGAGTGGGATGGCAGGACCATATGGTAACTCTATTTTTAGTTGTTAAGGAACCTCCATACTGTTCTTCATAGTGGCTGCACCCTTCCACTCTGACTTTTAATATTTTTCTCCTTATGCTTTACAGATGACTTTAGCCGAGTGAGATTAATCTCCATGAATGAAGAGGAAGGTGCAGACTACATCAATGCCAACTACATTCCTGTAAGTAATCAAAATTAAAAATTTTTTAAATCAGGCATCCAAATTCTAACCCAGCCAGAGGAAGACTATTAGGGCTTCAGGGATGTGTCAAACAGTTCAATAGAGAGCTGTTCTCCACTAAGCACTCCAACTCTAAAGAACAGTTTCCATTATTCCATTTTAGAATAAAGAATAGGGAAAAAGGGCTTCCCTGGTGGCGCAGTGGTTGAGAGTCCGCCTGCCGATGCAGGGGACACGGGTTCACGCCCCGGTCTGGGAAGATCCCGCATGCCGGCGGAGCGGCTGGGCCGGTGAGCCATGGCCGCTGAGCCTGCGCGTCCGGAGCCTGTGCTCCGCAACGGGAGAGACCACAACAGTGAGAGGCCCGCGTACCGCAAAAAAAAAAGAATAGGGGAAAAAAGAAGCCCAGAGACTAGTAATATACAAATTTCTCTGAAAAAGATTAGTGAAATTGAAAGTAGATCATTATACTAAAGATCATCTTTCTTGTGCTTAAATGTCAGTGTCAGCAACCAAACTCAAAGGGCTCCACCTGAGCACCTGTGCTTTTAAAATGTATCTGTAAAGACAGTGGTTGTTAGTGTAAAAACGTGTGGGTGTGATTTCTAGGCTCCCCCACAAAATGTATCAAATCATATGGATTTATACAGTCAGCTACTACGACTGCCTCCTTGATGAAAAAAGGAGGAAACATTTCATACGTGCACGATCCCTTGCCATTTTAGCCCCAGTAAATTTTCAGTTTTTTCTCATTTGTGTGAAACAGCATTTGGTGTTGACTGTAGCTCCTTAGGTGACAACTTTGTCACTTACCTTCCAGGGATACAACTCACCCCAGGAGTATGTTGCCACACAGGGGCCTCTGCCTGAAACCAGAAATGACTTTTGGAAGATGGTCCTACAACAGAAGTCTCAGATTATTGTCATGCTCACTCAGTGTAATGAGAAAAGGCGGGTAAGTGCCTAGTGGGGTCAGCCCCACTTAGCAGCGAAGCCTGTACCAGCCACTGCCATGGATTAAATGCTTACTGTCTATTGGAAACCATTCCACTTGCTTCATTCTTCATCCTCACAATAATCCTATACAATTCTTCAGAGGCAAGTCATTCGCTTTCCCTAAATGAGTACAGACTATTTCCTCCCTAGCCTGTTTGTTTTAAAAGGTTGTGCTATTGTCCCCTCAGGTGAAATGTGACCATTACTGGCCATTCACGGAAGAACCCATAGCTTATGGAGACATCACAGTGGAGATGATCTCAGAGGAAGGGCAGGATGCCTGGGCCTGTAGACACTTCCGGATCAACTATGTAAGTCACAGAGTGTGGGTTCAGGAGCTGTTCCCATGCTGAGGGAAGCCCCAGGGTCAGGAGACCAATCCCCCTTCATGGGAGACCATGGGCACCTCAGACTTGGCAACATGGCTTCCTCCAAGAGGAAAATCCCAAGTGTAATGTGCTTATTTCCTAACTCCTCGAGAATCGTGTGGATTAAATACTTACCCTGGAGAGCCCGAGGAGATGGAATCAGAAGGCTACACTGTTCCATCTCAGATTTCAGCCAGGGTCATAGAAGACACGGTGACCCACTGCTCACCAGGCATGACTGAGGAGAGAAGTGTTGTCACACTTATATTAACCATGTATGGGTATATTTAGAATATACAAGCACCTGCATTATAAATTAAAATTTAGTTTTACATGTAGTGGTTTGGGTTTTATTTCACTTTGTTTGGCTTTGTCCCTTACTTTGTTGTAGTTTGGTTTTTATTATTTCTAAGGTACTTCTGGACCTTAGTAATCATGGTTTCCTAGCTCTTTTGAAATGCTATTGAATTCTGATTGTTAGAATGTCAGAAAAGTCTATTTTTTCCTGTAAGGACTGCTACATCTCTGCTGACAGGCAGGCTAAGTATTACTAGTATTCTCCACCTAAACATGGTCTCTGTTGAGGACAAACTTAATACTAAAGTCCTCATTAAAATGTGCTTCTCTGCTTAGAAACAACATTTTCTCACAGTGTAGATCAGAGGATGAACAAAAGACCCTCCTTCGTGAAGTCCACGAGCTAAGAATGAATTTTACCTTTGTAAAAGTTGGAAAAAATTAAAAGAAGAATAATATTTCACATGAAACATTATATGGACATTATAAAATTCCAATTTCAATGCCCATAAATAACATTTTATTGAAACATAGCCACAGATTTGTTTACTGATTTCCTATGACTCTTTCTGTGCTACATCAAGCTTGAATAGCTGCCACAGAGACTGTATGATCCCCCAAATCTAAAATATTTACTCTCTGCCCTTTACAGAAAATGCTTGATGACCTTAACATAGGCAACGGAAACAAGGATTGTTCATTATCAGTGCAACCCAAGCACTCATTAACTCACCATTTATTGATATTTACAAGAAGCAAATCACTTCTTAACCACTACTAGTTAACAATGGCTTTTGCTACATTGAGAATTTAGGCAAATCCCAGTGTAACTGTTAACAAACTGCTCCAGGCTGTTCCACCTCTTTGAAATGCCCGTCTCCTCCTTTTCCTTAAGCACACTCCTACTCAGAATTTCAGCTCAAACGTTAGCTCCTTTATCAAGCCTTCCCTAGTCTCAAAAGACCTTTCTCCCTTTCCTCTCCTGCTCTAGTTTCACGTGTATCACAGTGCACCATACATGGTTATAATTCTCTCATTTCGTGTCTGCTTTCCCATCTCCCCCGCCCCCCCCATGTACTGTCATGGACTCAAGTATCCTGTTTTAATAATCCTTGTAATCCTAACCCTTAGCCACTTAATAAGTCTTCATGGAATTAATAAATCAGTGAATGAATGAATGTTTTCAAAAATAATAAATCACTTAGAAAACATCAACAGACTTAGCCGTCAGAGAAAATGTTTGACAATCTCAATTCCATTTGAACTCTCCTTTCTTTCTTGGATATTTTACCCAGAAAGCCGGTATAAACTGCTATACAAATACAGAGTAAATCTTTCCCTAGGTTTTGCATCTGGGAGAAAAAAGTTGCAAAGCAAAAATAAGGTCTGTTCCCTTGACTGGGAGAAGTGACATCGATCACTGTGTGATCAATACTATGTCCTTGTCCTTGGTCTTAAATAATAACTTTTCAGTGACAACCATGTGAAGGGCTTGAAACATAGGAATAAAACGCTGAACAGTAGACGTTTCTGGTTTTTATACAGTAGTTGCAAGCATCTGATCCCAGAGCGCCCCCTTTTGGCCATAAACAAATAGAATCTAAATTTTAAGCTCCTGCAATGAAGGTTAAATTAACAAAGAACATTGTGCTGTGCCGGTGAATACCTTTTTCTATTTTTTTCATTTTTTGCTTATATACTTCTTTATTCCCTCCATGGTGATATGTGGAAATTTTCAGAGTACAACCAGATAAAATTACACAAGTGAGGAAATCAGAGTATGAGAAATGTTGGAATGGTTAAGTAAGATGCAACCAGCAGGGTTTTCTCATTTAATAGGAAAATGACCATAACGCAAAATTTGTCACTTTCCAGTACTTGAAACTTGGCATGAACTGAGTAAGAACTGGAGACTAAAAACCAGCAAAAACCTGTTTGTTCCCATTACTTGTGCCTTGCTATTCAGCTGACAGGAATCACCCATCTGATACAAGACCTCTGCCCTGCAGCTACGGAGAGACTAATCACAATTTAAAGCCTTCTTATTTTTGAACCACCTTGCATGTTTTAGCTCGATACATTTTAGAATATATATATTCTAATATAGCTATATATATAGGTATACATATGTATGTATGCGTGTATATGTATATATTCTGTCAATGAAAATAACCAGTAAACAATCTACAATAGGAATATTTATTTGAACCAAACTGAGGACTATAGCCTTGAAGACAGTCTCTCAAGAACTGCTCTGGAGAAGCATGATTTTCAGCACAGTTTTCTATCTTGTCAGAACAAAGAATATTAAACAAGTCAGGGATACATTCCTTCAAGATTTCAAAGAAAATCCAGATCAGCACACACACAGCAAGCCAGCATGGCTTTGGCACCTGGGAAGGGATTCTTATCACGGAAGGAGGACCAGCATTGGCATCCCAGGAAGAGGGGCATTTATCTTTATTCTCAACATGGACATTCTTTACTTCTGGCCAATGTGCCCTTTTCTTTAATAATTAAAGCAAGTGTACAATGTATGTTTGATAGACCACAAACAGGCCGTTCTGGTTAGCATAAAATTCAAGTTAACTCATGTATAACCCAGAATGGCTTCCCGTACTTCAATATGTAAACATTTCTTTTATCAAAACACACATATCCTACAATGTATGAGTCTTGTGCTCAGCCTGTGATCCGCATTTGGAAAGAGCGAGCATTTTCGTGAATTTTTCTGGGCAACCAAAGTTATCTGGGGATAGAGTATCCTTAAATCCTCCGGGTGTTGAGTAATTCATTCATTCTGCACAATTTATTATGCTTGAGTTACTTTCTTGCCATACTTCCTGAGGACAGCAGTGAGGTTGGCCAGCATCTCTGTAGATTTCATGCTCCACGTGTCGAAGACAAAGCCCTTGAACTCGCTCATATAGAGAGACATTGCGTATGGCTGGGGACGTGTGGCCTTAGGCCAAGGAGACAGTGGGTCTAGTTGAAGTGCTGACATTTATATTTATACAAATATTATTATATTTGTATTTATACATTTATTTATATTTCTAATTTTTACCTCACCCAAGACCAGTGACACCTTGAAATTCATTTCTGTCTAATACCTGAAAACCTAAACTTTAACTCCAAACTCATAGCCAGACCAAATTCTTCCAAAGTATGATATAGTATTCTATCTCCTGAGTGGATTCTAGGGTCTTAGCAAATTTGAGGGGTGAGGGATGCATTAGATCTTTGCGAGGCTTGGATTTGGAATATTTCTGATAGTTGATAGCAAAACTTTATGCTTATCAATTAGTAGGGACTTAAAGAAGTAAATCTTGGAGGACGCACATCCTAGCTGGTATTTACACAAGTCAGAGGGAACAACAATATATTAGGTATACGGGTTCATATGAATGGGAAAATATACAAAACATACCCATTTACTGGTATTCCCAGAACCATCCATTGAAATGCACTGAGCTGGATGACAGCAAGTGGTACTAATTATGCTGTAGTAGTGATGAGGATATCTAACAGATGCCACCCTTCACAAACACAATCACACTTAATCTCCACAACAACCCTTGCTAAAGATATCATGAGACCATTTTCAAATGAGAGAACACTGGTATTCAGCGAGTTTGTCTTGTCAGTTCCCCTAGCATCCGATCCCAAGACAAGGATTGTTATATAGGGGATTTTTTGAAAGTGTAATGTTGGGTAAAATCTGTCCAGGAACAAAGGAAGCAGGATAGGACAGTAGAGTAGTCCCATCTTGACTTTTTGTGCCCCGGTATCAATCACTTATTAGCTGCAGGCTGCCCTCAGCCTGAGAATGCTATCTCTTAGGCACTTCCCAGCAAGGTAGCTCCCTTCAGTGGGAGATGCCTGTGAGGAGTGGGGTGCAGCTAGATGCTATTAGCAGCATCAGGGAAAGGGGGTGCAACAGCCTGGCCCAGTGGACCCAAGCGGGTCACCAACAGAATCTTTCAGTATTTAATTCATCGCCCAGAGCTGATGTAACTTCTAAATGGCAGAGCCGGGATGCGAACCCTGATCTGCTTAAGCTCTTATCACTACAGAGGCATGGATTAGCCTATTTATCCTACTATCTGAAGCTTTATACAATTAGTATTTTTTTTTCAGGGCCTGCTTTGTGCCAGACACAATGCTGAGAGCTGGAAAGGGAGATATACTGACCAGGAGTGAAATGTGGCTTTACCATCGTTTGTGAGCTGCCTCCGAGGCCTGAGCCATCCTGACGGGGGACTGAGAGATTAACGCTTGTTTTTCTCCTAAAGGCTGACGAGATGCAGGATGTGATGCATTTTAACTACACTGCGTGGCCTGATCACGGGGTGCCCACGGCCAACGCTGCAGAAAGCATCCTGCAGTTTGTACACATGGTCCGACGGCAAGCGACAAAGAGCAAAGGCCCCATGATCGTGCACTGCAGGTAACCTCATCAAATGCATTGTCGGTTAGAAATCATGGAGGAAAGTGCCCACCATTAAACCACTGATCAGACTGAATGAAGAGTTAAATGAATTATGATTTTTTAAAATGTACGATTAACTGAAGTCTTACTAGATACATGATTTACTTATAATACAGCTATTTATATCCTGTAGTATATGAGATTAATAATATTATTGCCATTATCAGATTAAAAAAAAAAAAACCTAAGGAGTAGAAAGATTAAGGGAGTCACAAAAGTTCATGCATCCAGAAAATGAAGGAGTTAGTATTCAAATCTAGGCACACCGGTCTCCAAAGGCCGGGCTTTTAAGCACCATGTGATGGTACCCTATCCTGTCAAGGATTCTGTGGAGTTTATAACAGAGCCAAATACAAAGTCAAATTAAAACTAGCCAATCACAACCCAGAGTAATATAAATAGACATAAAACACAAGTTGAAGGAAAGGTGAAATAAAAACATTCAGCTCGCGAAGATAAACATATTTGCTAGGTTTCCCTTCCACATTATCTCTAAATTTCCAGATGGTGCAGACAAAAGGGGCTATATGATCTACTGCATTATCAAAAATCAAGGACCACACTAATCCCTTACAGAAGGAGTTATCTTTGAATTTAAGCTTTCTTTCCTACCATGTGAACAAAGCTCCATCAAAATCCAGCAGTGTGACGTAATGTTGTTGTGAAATGTTTATGCAGCCTCAGAAGAGCAGGGGATATAAATGCACTCCTGTTGTGTATCAGCTGTAGAAGCGGAATAAAGCTGTCAGACGAGGCATTGGCAGCCAATAATCCTGGATCTAGTACCTTGGTCTGTGAACTAGAATGGCTAAGGGTGTGTGTGTGTATGTGTGTGTGTGTGTGTGTGTGTGTGTGGGAGAGAGAGAGAGAATGTGTCTCCCTGGAAAGAAAAATGTTTCATAAGCTACCAAGTTTCTGATTAGGGAGACTACCCTTGCTGTCAGTCATTCCCAGGTCAAAAGTTTTGCTTCACCAGATGAAATTATCTCATCTCAAAATGGTTCTTTCCAAGAGCAGAAGATAAACCTGCTCGACCCTGGGGTCAAACACATGGACTCCTTTCACGCACGTAGCTGGGTAGCAGGTATAGTTCTGGATGTGACTTTGCAAGTGTTCACCCAGACACAGAACATTTAATCAGAGAAGATAAGTCCTAAGAGGGAAGAATTGTCTGGTAGAAGAAGCAAACCACGGTTCTGAACTCATGGTTTTTCCTGTTGGATTTTCTCTCCCAGCACATCCCACGTGTAAATTGGTTTTGATTTCTATTTCCTCATATTCCCTCACAATCGGGAGTTCAGAACCAGTTGGCACTCCAGTCTGTGAGTGATTGGAGGAAAAGGACGGCTGACTTTAACTGTAACCCTGCGGACTGTGGTGGAGAATAGGTCAGCCCATATCACTCCACTTCCCTCTATGCTCTGAGCCCTGGGATTTGGGGACTGGGAGAGACTGGGTCCAAATATTAAATCTGATTTTGAGGCAACTATCTGGGAGAATGAAGCAGACTAGCACCCACTAGCAGGGCGGATGCACTTTAAGGAAGGTCAGAGACGATGAACTTGACCTAGGGCTGAAGACGCACAAATTACCATGGCCCCAGCCCTAGAACTAGGGTGTGGACATCTCAACTAAACTTTCTAGTTGGGTGTGAGGGCTTAACTCTGAGGCTACTCAGAAGACTGGAATTGTTTACGTGTATCAGCTCCCTGGGGGGCCAGAACTGACTCTCCAGGAGGCTCCACATGGAATCCTTACTTTCCTAAGGAACAGAAACCCTGGGGGGCGGGATGGGCAGGTGTGGCCAAGGCAGACCCACACCTCTCTAAGAGAGGTAGCAGTGATAGAACTGTGACGTTAGGAGACACATCAACCACAGCTGCATACTTAAACAACAGTTAAGCGGGAAATATTGTCAGTTTAGTCTTTTTTTTCAATGATGCTACATGTAGTTTTTGTGTGTTTTTGGTTTTTGGTTTTGGTCTTTTTTCATCGCCAATTTGTTTCCAACAGTGTAGAAGCGCTAAGTGATGTGCTGTCGGAACCTCTTTTTCAGTGCTGGAGTCGGTCGGACAGGAACATTCATTGCCCTGGACAGGCTCTTGCAGCACATTCGGGATCATGAGTTTGTGGACATCCTAGGGCTGGTGTCAGAAATGCGGTCATACCGGATGTCTATGGTACAGACCGAGGTAGGAACATAATCACATGTATTTTTAAATTTGCCCTTGACTGAAAAACTTCCCACTATTCAATCGCATATGTCAAAACCATTGTCTCGATTTTTCTTTTTTTTGCATCTGCTGTTCCCAGTTTCTTATTGTGCACATTCAAACTGCTCTAAGGTATAAAAGAAACAGATATTAGTCTTTAGAAATCCATTTGGTGTACATGCCCACACTTTTATTGATGTTACAGGCCCTTCAGTAACCCAGAGCACATGGGTGTATCTATAATGGAATAAAAGCTCTTTGAACAGACTGAGAGTTCAGTGAAGGTGACAGCCATCTGGGGAAATGCCACCAAGTGGAGACTTTAAAACTGATGTGATTTAATTTCTATATAAAATGCTAGATTTGACTCAATAAGTTTGTCATTAGTTTGCCCTTCATGTGGCTCAATTCACTTTTGATGATAATATGGATTGACTTTGTGCTTTGTGATGAAATAAAATCCTTACAATTTTAAGGATTTCCAGCCTCTCATCTACCAGCACTGCCAGTCCCTTGAGCTAAATGAATGGAATCGTCATTGTAACAACATGGAGGCATCCCCAGAAATATACATCAGCGTTACGTGCTCTCCTTTCTCCTCTTCTCCCAGGTACTCTCCACCTCAGAGCCTTAAAATGCACTCAGGCTGGAGTGGCAGCCCCAGACAGACAGCATCACGCTGCCTCAGAGCAGCAGTGGGTGTGCACCTGTGTGGGTTCACAAACCTAAGCACAATAGTTTCTTCGTAATCCTAGTCACCCAGCCGTACTCGCAACTTCTTAGCTTCGGGCGAACACTAATCCTTTTTGCTCGAGGAGTGTGTGTGGGAGGAACACTTATAGACTGGAACCCAGCCTGGCCTGACCTCTGACTCAGTTCCCAAGGGATTAAAACCTGCCTTAATCTTCCTCATGTTTTTCCCAGCAATCACCACTAGATGTCAGTATAACTCAAAAGTCCACAGTCCGGGCTGCCGTCTCAATGCTTCCGGCTTCCCCTTTCCCCCCCTTTTCTCTCCTGCCTCCCCATCCTGTCCGAGCAAGGCTTGGCACAGACGTTCCAATCTGTTTATTTCTGAGCTCTAGCAAGATCATAGCACTTTGGAAACAGTAACTCATTCACATTCAGATGGCTCAGGGATGATTAGGAAGCAAGACATCTATTAGTGTGCTCACTTCCTTGAGATCACTCACATTCCAGTCCTGCTACCTTCTAATTTACCACTGTGGAGACATAGACATTATCCTATTATCATAAGTTTAAAATGTCCTGGTTTCCCAGACAAGCCCAACTACCTAGTGTCTTATGGGGATTCCCTGGTGGTGCAGTGGTTGAGAGTCCGCCTGCCGATGCAGGCGACGTGGGTTCGTGCCCCGGTCCGGGAAGATCCCACATGCTGCGGAACGGCTAGGTCCGTGAGCCATGGCTGTTGGGCCTGCGCGTCCGGAGCCTGTGCTCCACAACGGGAGAGGCCACAACAGTGAGAGGCCTGTGTACCGTAAAAAAACGAACAAAAAAAACCTGTGTTATGAATCTGTCCATATTTTTGGCTTTCACTTCCATAAATCTATATCCTCCTATGTGATTAAAACTCTCTATTATGTATATTGATCTCCAAGCTTCAAAGGGCCACTCCTTATTTTAAGTATTTTGGATTTGATGAACTGTCTGCCCCCACTGACTTAATGCATACCTTTTATAATTTTATAGACTGTGATTACAGCCTGTTGGCTTTCAACTTTCCAACAACAGAATCCTAATCCCTTTTTCAAAGGTCTACCTTCACATGGTAGACCCTCTATCCAATTTTCAGTGCCATTATCTTTCTTCATGTGTGGTAATCCCAGGACACCAGGGTGACCACCATGTGCCTTTCTGTAAAGCTGAGAAAAAGTTGGCTTTTCTCTGTAACTTCCTTTCCTCAAATTTTGATTGCTTCTTTGTTTATGGTAGTATTTTAGGTTGACATCTCCAGGGAAACAGTCTTTTTTAAGTACGATATCCCTTCCCTGAACTCTCGTGGGAAAATTCAAAGTCAGCAGAAGAGGCAGAGGTCACCACGGGTCACTTATTTTTCCCAACTGTTCCAATTCACTCTTGAGTTCCCTCAGGATTTTGCAGTGATCCTCTCTAGTTCAAGTTATTTATTTATGTCGGTTTTGTCAGTTGTGTCTGGAACCTCTCGTCCAATGATTTACCTCTGTTTTTCCTCATTCCTGTGCTCTTCGTGGTTCAACCTGTAACTTGAATGTTAGGATTTCCTTAACATCCTCCTTGAGCTCATTCACGCCCCAGTCCTGCTGCCTCCTAGTTTACTGATGCTAATAATAAAGAGCAGAGTAAAAAATTATTTTTCTTCATCATCCCAGAGCACTCGTTTGACACTAATGGTTTTCAAGAGGCCAGAATGATTCTCCAGCGGAGTCAATGTATATACAGAAACCACAGTGTGTTGTGTACAGGTTACCTCCCATGCTGGTTTTTCATTTTCCTACGCCCTCTTGACGGCCCATTGCCTTGATTCTAGTACCCCACCCCCTCTACAAACAGCAGAAGTCACTGATTAATTTGACCATATCCTCAGGTGCATGTTTCAAGTCCCTGCAACATGCCGCACGGGCCGTATTTTGATGAGCCCTTTTCCCCTTTCTCAGCTGACCAGGCACGCTGTGTGGACCCCTGCACAAGAGGAGCGAGGGGTAGTCAGAGAGTAGGGTAGTCAGGCCAGACCCTGAAAGAGGCCCGGGACCAACCCTGACCACTGTACAACTCATTTCACCTCTCGAATCTCCCATTCCGATGAACAGATACACCCTACGATATATAAAATAAATAACAAACAAAGACCTACTGAATAGCACAGGGAACTAAACTCAGTATTTTGTAATAACCTATAAGGAAAAGTATCTAAAAAGAGAAATAGACATAGATGTATGTATAACTGAATCACTTTGTTGTACACCTGAAACTAACACAACGTTTTAATCAACTATACTCCAATTTTTAAAAAAATTAAATAATAGGGCTTCCCTGGTGGCGCAGTGGTTGAGAGTCCGCCTGCCGATGCAGGGGACGTGGGTTCGTGCCCCGGTCCGGGAAGATCCCACATGCCGCGGAGCAGCTGGGCCCGTGAGCCATGGCCGCTGAGCCTGCGCGTCCGCAGCCTGTGCTCCGCAACGGGAGAGGCCACAACAGTGAGAGGCCCGCTTACCGCAAAAAAAAAAAAAAAAAAAAAAAAAAAATTAAACAATAAAAATATATATTTTTAAAAAGCTCCCATCCCTCATCTGTAAAAAGTGAAGGACAACGTTCATTAGTTGTTTGTTGTAAAGTATACATCAGGTGAACCGATATCATCAAGATAAGTGCTTTGAAATTCTAAAGTGCCACATGTGGATGGCCTTCGCCTCTCCTGGGCTCTCTTCTATTTTTATCAAAGGTTTTCTTTAATTTTCCTCTAATAGGCTTTCCCAGGAGGTCAGGCCTTGCTTTGAGCAGCCACTTCTCCTCATTGGCAGCCTCCTGATTTCTCAGGAACTCTCAGAGATGAGTCTGTAAATAGTCTTTTATTTACTTTTCCTGTGGCCTAGCTACTTTATTTACGTATTTATTTAGACACAAAGTTTGGCCACTGCGTAGGTATGGGTTGAGAAACCAGGCAGTCTCTGTCCTTATCGATGCCCTGTGCTTGACTCAACACCAGAAACAATGGAGGCATGTGTCATAACAAGAAAGGGAAGCTCAGTTACTGATGTAATGTTGTCACAATATAAGGGAATATATTTTCCCCAAATTTTGTTGAAAAATACATGTGAGTCCAGGGAAGTTTGAAGTATTTAATTTTATCCTTTGTATGAAGTTGTCATACAAAAGGTCCTTGAAATCCTGTGGTTATCTTAACTGGTTCTTATTTAAAGGCTATTTTTAATGGTATTACTTAGAGAGAAACTCCGGAAAATAAGGAAAAAGGAGAAATGACCTTGACTTCATGACATAAGGACAGCTACTCTCAATATTTTGGCGTACCTCGTCTCGGCCTTCATTCAAGTATAATGTTCACACAATTGTGCTCATATGCCCTATACACATATGCTAATTTTACATTCTGATTTTTCACTTAATATTTTGCTACCTGTATCATCCCAAATTGCCTAAAACTCTATAACTCTCATTTTAAAGACTGAATACTGTTTCATTTTATTTATTTATTTTTCTTTTATTTATTTTTTAAAATTATTTTATTTATTTATTTTTCTTTTATTTATTTTTAAAAATTATTTTATTTATTTATTTTTGGCTGTGTTGGGTCTTCATTGTGGTGCACGGGCTTCTCACCGCAGCGGCCTCCCCTGCTGCAGAGCACAGGCTCCAGGCACGTGGGCCTCAGTAGCCGTGGCACGCAGGCCCAGCAGCTGTGGCTCGTGGGCTCCAGAGCACAGGCTCAGTAGTTGTGGCACACGGGCCCAGTTGCTCCGCGGCATGCGGGATCCTCCCGGACCAGGGCTCGAACCCGTGTCCCCTGTACCGGCAGGCGGACTCCCAACCCCTGGGCCACCAGGGAAGTCCCATACTGTTTCATTTTAGGTATGCTGTTGCTTACTTCAAACATTCTCCTTTTTATAGGACATTAAATTGGATTCTTTCCTTTCTTACTTTTATCTGTCCACAATGCCATTTATTAGCATTTTATTAATTGTACCTCCACCAGCTGTAGGTAAAAATGATTGCTTCAACAAACTCAAATCATCACTGAATATTATTTTTTTCCTTTAGGTTTGCTTACTTTATAGATAAAAAATAGTTTTAATTTACAATTTTTTATTACTTGGCCATTTTTTGCGTATGGTTTAATATTTTCTCAGTTTACTTAAACATTTAATAGGCACAAACTAAGTGCTGGGTATTAGGAATAAAAAGACACAGTCCCTGCTTTCCAGGAATATTTGGTCTAGTGGTCAGTGTATTTTATTTATTTGTCACTTTAAGTGTGCATGTTACTGACGTGGATGAATTTTAAACAAAGATGAAGGTATCAACATTTGTCATAATTCTAGAAAATATTCCCTCTCAGTTTCTGGTTTGCCCTTTATTTTATTCTTTTTACTCCTTTTTATATACAGTAGTTTAACATTTTTATTTGTAACTTATTTCATTGTTTAAAGTTTAAACAGTCCTTCCTTAAAGTAATCAGAGAAAAATTAACCTATATTTTCCTTTATATTTTTATGGCTTAATTCATTAAACTTCCTGGAATTTATTTCAGTGTATTATGAGGTGATGTGCTTTTTTTTTCAAATAGCCCCATGATTTATTGCTTGAATATTCATTGCCTTTAGCATTAAGTAGTGATAGTCTAAGCCCTATTATTAATCAAACTATTTCTACAGTTGATTCTCTTGGATTTTCTAGTTATAAAATTGTGTCATATATATATGGAATCTTAAAAAAAAAAGAAAAAAAAAACTGGTTCTATGAACCTAGGGACAGGACAGGAATAAAGACTCAGATGTAGAGAATGGACTTGAGGACACGGGGAGGGGGAAGGGTAAGCTGGGATGAAGTGAGAGAGTGGCATGGACATATATACACTACCAAACGTAAGGTAGATAGCTAGTGGGAAGCAGCCACATAGCACAGGGCGATCAGCTCGGTGCTTTGTGACCACCTAGAGGGGTGGGATGGGGGGGGAGGGAGACGCAAGAGGGAGGGGATATGGGGATATATGTATGTGTATAGCTGATTCACTTTGTGATAAAGCAGAAACTAACACACCATTGTAAAGCAGTTATCCTCCAATAAAAATGTTAAAAAAATTGTCTCATAAATAATGAAGAATGTTTCCCTTGACATCACATCATAGCATTTAATACTGCCATAGTATTAAAATATTATACTTTTGCGCAGAGGTGTCTTGCTCTGAAACCCTTGTCTCTGGCCCCAGGAGCAGTACATCTTTATCCATCAGTGTGCGCAACGGATGTGGATGAAGAAGAAGCAGCAGTTCTGCATCAGTGACGTCATCTATGAGAATGTCAGCAAGTCTTAGTTCAGAATCCAGACCAGTAAGTGGAGAAGAACCCATCATGGGCACCCTGTCTTAGCACAACAGGAGAGGGCATGATATGGGATACGACAAACGCAGCAGTGGCTATCTGTGCTGACTCTGACCCCACAGAGGTGGTCACGGGGAGGTGGTCATAGGGAGAGACAAATACCGTAGCAGATCTTTGAGCTTCAGTGGGCCTAGGTTGGTGGGTGTGGCACGCAAGAGCTTCAGCAACTCATGAAGATTTGCCCTGCATTCCCTCCACCCTGAACCTTAAATTACTCTGATATTGGATCTGTGCCTGCAATATCAGGATATTACCATCCAATGCTATTTATCTAGATACTTTATGTAGACATTTTACTGACTACAAGGGCCACACAAGGGGCTACAAAGAAGACATGAGCTAAAGTAGACACCCCAAAGAAGAAAAACAATATTGACAATAGTCTTAGGTTAGCGGAGTTTTCAAATGCCTTGATCTCATCTATTATGTGAGTACTTACTTGAGAGCATCGTGAAAAAAAATAGTTACACAGTCAATGCCTTGTGCTCACGTTTTAACTAGGACATCAGATTTCGGAGGTGTAAGTAATCTTGGCTAAAGTAACAAGTAATCTTCTAACTCAACTCAGTAAACAGAGCGTAGAATGTGTATGAATATATTAAGGTTGGAGGGATCATTGACAGGGAGAGAGAGGACAAGGGTGCCTTGAGGAAGAAGTATGGAAGGATGTGGACTAGTGAGTACCAGGATAGGATTAGCATCAGACCATTACATTCATCAACAAAGACAGACAGAAAGCACAAGGAGGCAGGAAGGAAAAAGAATAAGGAAAGACAGACAGAGACAAATTTGCAGGTAGAAGGAAAGACAGAGACACAGAAAGGAGGACTTGCACAGAGAAAGATGCACAGATAAACCCACGTCCACATGGGCTGTGGGGTTGAGTGTAATGAGAGCTAGTGATGGAATCAGGAGGCGGTCGCTGTACTTCCAGCCACAGAGCTGTTGATGAGGGGCTTTGCTCTCCCAGGCTGCTTATTGTCTTCCTCTGTCTCTCATTTACAGGACAGGACATGATGTGAACCCCTCCTCCCTTGCTTCCAAGAGTTTTTTTTGGGGGGGGGCTCTACTAGCCATTTGCTAAAAAGAGCCCTGCTTTACAGTACGTGGCCAAGGAGATAATTTATCTCATAGAAGCACCGGGAAGACTTAGCCTTAAAGAGCCTACAGTGTCTTTCGGACTCTCACTTCTGGACATTCAATAATGGACCAAATTCAACCGGACACCAGAAAGGTCCAGAAGCTCTGCAAAGGGCAGGAAGCACAACACTTCCGAAGAGTTTTGCTGGCCCTTTGCTGGTTGGGCTGAGTTTTTTGCTGTTGTTTTTAAGTGCAATAATTTTTGTACGTGTGTGATTTTATCAGAACGTTGAACTGTTTTCTGCCCGCACTATTGAGCAAGCTCGTAACCCAAGAAGGATCAGGCATAGTTGGTGTCAAATTATACCTCATTGTTAAAAAGAGGCATGCCCACACATGAAAAAATGGCAATTCTGCTGCAAGGAAATTGAACCAGTGCTATCTATAATCCAACATAAGCTTACTGGATCAGCAATGGGGAGGGTGGATCGGGGGAGAGAGAAAGGCTCTTCCCACAGATCAACTGCGTATCTTTTCCAAATATGAAGAGCTGTAATTCAGCTTCAAAGTAGAGTAGAAAAAATATTTAAGTCTTAATTGTTCTAGTTCTTGATGTTTTTTTCTTATTAACAGTTCAGTGTTTCCTCCTTGGCCCTCTTGGACTAATGTCACTGTCCAGGTTCCTTTTCAACAAACTAGATCTGGTTCAGAAGACTTTGAAGTCTCACTCTTTAGACTCCACTGCTGTCTGAGCAATCTTGGTGCCTAGGGTTTGCGTTCCTCTTTCTGTTGACCTGCATACACGTAAAAGCTATTTCTTTGCAAACTATAGGCTGTGAACACGCACTTTCCTTCCCCCAAAGAGCTGGGAATTTATGAAGTTGTGGCAATGAACTTCAGCATGCTAGGACAATGATTTGCCTACATTTTGGGGGGGGGTAATATTGTCAAGCATCTCTATGGATTCTGACAGAGATAACTTTCTGTTTTGTTTTCTTTGGGGTTGTCAGTTTCATTTTAACCTGTGTAACTTGCAGCAATCTATTCTTTGCATTTTGTATAATTGCAGTACATAATTGTGTCTTGTGACATGAACACTGTCAGAATGGACACAGATGGCATCCTGAAGCCTGTTACTTTGTGTCGCTTCCTGAGAATGAAGAGGTGATGGATATACAAAGGAAAACATTTTGAGTTGAAAGTAAACACAAGCTTGCTGCTTCACTGGAGCAGTTGGCTGTCCTGAGCCTTCCTGTGTGTGTTTCAGGAGGCTGTGTCCCCCTCTCTGTGCATCCGCCCCTCGCCCTGGATCCCCGCTCTCCTGCGCATCTCCATGAAGCCATGCACGCATCGTCAGTTTCACATTTTATCAGTGACCTTTGTAAAGGTAAAGGATGCCAAGTGAACAGCTCTGCACCCCACTGTCTCTTGTCACCAAGGCCTGGCCACAGCAGAGCCTGGCACAGTTCTTTGCAAGACCTGGCCAGGCAGGGAGTCTCAGGTTCTCCTCGTGGGGAGAGGGGAGGAACGGCAGAAGCTGTCCAGACCCCACAGGTTAACAGCTTGGGCTCCCTGGGTGTTGTCAGCTTTGACTCGCCCCCACCTCTTCCTCCCCTTCTCACCTCCCTGCTGCCACCTTCTCTTCTCACTCCCACCCCTTTAAGTCCCTTCTTGGACATGTTAATAATGTACCACTCCATTCCCAGGAGTACATGTGGCTAAAGAAAAGTAGCAAGTGTATGTGTGACTTCCTTAGGTTTTCGCACACGGACAGGTCAGGAGTGAAGTAAGCAACGTTGGGTGAGCTGATAAGACACCTGCTGGTGCAGGTGCGTTTCCCATGTTCACAGACTGGAACTTTACTTCCCTGAAACTTAAAGCACTTCGTAAATGTTTTATGATTTTCTTGAGCACCCCTTCCAGGTAGGAATCAAATAGTCCCAGATCAGTTTTCCCAAAAGAGAAGATGAAGTATCCAGAGTTAGACGGAAGCCTCAGAGTTTAGATGACAGAAAAGTCACACCAGGCACTTAACCAGATCATTCCTTCAGGGGTCTCCACAGCCGTCACTCTGTACATCCCTGGTACACCGGTGCTCCTGAAGTGTACAGTTTATGATGGGAAAAGCATCCATCTGTCTGAAGACTTGGGTTTCAATCCCGATAGATGACTTTGAAATGTATCTGTCCTAAGTCTCCGTTGATGAACTGTAGAATTACCTACTAAAAGCACCATATTTCACAGGTGTAAAGGGTATCAGAGCTGATAATTCACACAAAGGTGTTTTGTATTTTATTCTTTCGTGTACCCTAGGGGCCCCTCAAACCAGCTTAATTTTCACTCCAGGATTCAACTCTAAGGATTCAGACAGGAGGCAGCTAGGGCCTCTGTGTTTTAATTAGTGTTATTTGTAGTCATCTGTGAAGTGCTACAGCGCACGGAACATAGAGGCATTAGCACAGGCATTCATAGTAGCCTACATGGTGCATAGAAAGAGCTGAAGATTTTGGAATAACAGAATATTTAACTTTGAGTGCTACTGAGATCAAATTCCTTGGCTGCAAAAGCCAATTTTTTAAGTTAATTGAGAAACTACCACTAGACTCTAATTTATACATTTAATATCTAACACTAATACATCCATACCTATACATTCATTATATGGCTTTATTTAACTTGAAAAGGAAGGAAAGTGATGAATGGCAACCTTTTCGGGGGGACAGTGTTCTAATTCGGGGTTGACAATTTTCCACTACAAAGTCAACACTGCCCCCCAAATTTAAAATTAGAAAAATTAGTAAGGATTTTTCAATTCTTATAAAATCTTTAATCAGATTCTATAATCGCTCCCCTTTTCTAAAAGCTGTCCCTGACCCCAGAAAGGGGATACATCTCTCCAAGAAGGCTGTGGTGTCAACGTGTAAAGCAGGGGCTGGAGACTTTGGAACTGAGTCTTTTGCAGACCTTGTGAGAGCTACTTGCTAGGGGATTGGCCGTCAGCCAAGGGAGTAAAGTTACTGAATCCAATCTCTAGGAGCCAAAATCCTCCCTGCTTTCTAGCAAGGAGGCCTTCCTTTCCACCTCAGGAAATGTCTGATGTGATGTGCTTCAAATTAGCTGGCGCATTTCCTAGCTCACTGATCACTAGCCTGGGGCCTGGCCCAGGCTCAGAGCTCAGAGGCCATGCCCAGGACTGAAAAGAACAACCACTTTGGCCAAAGGAGTTAGAAAGCAACAAAACCTGACACACACAAACTTCTACCTTTGGTTTTTAAAGCCTCTTTTGGGTGCATTTGAAGGAAACTTGAGCCACGATCTCTCTGACTCTTGGCCTTCCACAGCAGCACGCGTTTTCAGTTTCAATTGATGCTTATCACAAGGCCCGATCCTGGTGGGTCACTCAGTTAAAGATGGAGGATCATGTTTAGCTCTGGAAGTTGTATTATGAGGGACACGAACGAACTGTTCGGGGCAGGGTCACCTGAACCCTTACGACCTTGTGGAAAACAAAGGCCATAATCACAAGACCTGGGGCAAGTGGGGCTCTAAGCTTGGGGTCAAGGACGAGTCCCTGGTTCATCCAGTCATTCATTCAACAAATATACATTCATCTAATCCGCTGAGTGAATAAAGCAATCAATCAAGGAAAGATTTTTTGACCACTTGCAATACACCAGGCACCAGAGACACAAATGGTGCCGTAGGCTAACTTGTAAAACTATGTTATGGAATCAGAGTCTGGCTGTTGTTGGAAGGGCTAAGAAAGCATTAGACAAGCCTTTTTCAACATTTTTCACTTGTAGAGCTCAAATGTGGTCAACCTTCTGCAGTCACACCAGTAATAGTGGTACACACCTTTTTCCCCAATGGCTTAAGGACAGAAACACCAAGTTCTCATAGTTTTTGTTACTCATCAGGCACCACAGACCCTGACACGGTCCTCCCTTCTCGATGAGAATCAGCAAGCTAACCTTCTCTCCTACTCGAAAAGACTCTCCATCCCTGGCAAATGGTTAATTCTTTTCTACGGAACACTTCCAGTGAGCTTCTGGAATTGTCACCTCCAGGGCAGCCCATCATTTCATTCCTCAGGAAGCACTTTCTTCTCTTGGTTACACATCTAAGGAACTTACTAACTTTAAGGATGGGGATGGGATTGAAAGTTCTAACCTCCAACCAGCCCCCATGCTTTGGTGCTTTCCAAAAGTTTTCTCATTTACATAAGCTCAGATGTGGCTGAAAGGGTTTTGTTCTAAATACCCAGACACCTTTACTGCTCTTATCGCTTGGGAAATTCCAAGGGTTTTAGGAGTTCTAAATATATATTTAGGAGCTCTAGGGACAAATCAAAATATCACAGGTGTTCAAAGCCAAAGTGAGAAGTAAAATCCAGTTCTTCTGATTTCCACCCAGGTCCCAAGCTGTCTGCTATATGCGTGATTCTCAATGATTAGAAGTTTCTAACTTTAGTCAAATGTTCATTCATTCACCAAATGCTTACTAAGCAAAAATGCTATGGACCAGGAACTGGCCTGGGCCCTAGGAACACAAGGGTAAGTCCCAATGTCTCCAGGCAGACAGCAGGTGGAGGTGAGGCTGATAGGATTAAGGCAGGTAAATGAGATGAGACACCCTGGAGCCCCTGGGCCCTCCCTCCACTCCTACCCATGGTTGAAGCCAGCAAAGGGATGATCTTCAGAGCCCGGAAAGCCCCTCACATTCTTGGACCGACGTATGGCTCTACACCTCTCTTGGATAGAGGCTTGAAGTCCAAATCAACTTTCCCATTTTGGTAAAAGGGCAGGCACTCTGGCACTGACCAGGGCTGCCTTGACAGAGGATGGCTTTTAAAACTGTCCATTTGAAAAACAGTAAATTTCTAGCCCTCAAAGAAAATCATTTGTTGACTCAACATCCCACGTCAGGCACCGTGGAAGGGGCTGGGGCTATGAAGATAGATGAGACAAGGTCTCTGCTTAGAGGAGTTTACATTCTAATAAGGGATATTAGAATGGAAACTAAGGGCAATAGAGTGGCACAGATGATGTGATAGAAATACATAAAGCAGCCAATGCAGTACCAAGAGGACAGGTGATTTCTTTCTGGAAGGGTCAAGGAAGACCATACAGCCACATTAAAGTGTTAAAGACTGCCGAGCCACATTAAAGAATACTAATGCTGTACACTCACCCCTGGCAGCAAGCATTCATAAAACACCCACGGCGTCAGTGGCCGGGGCCCATGGGGGTAACCAAACCTCTGAACCTACCTTCTGAAGCTTTTCTTCTTGGTTGACTCCCAAATCAAAGTTTCTTTCCAGGCCTCCACAGACAGCTCCCGTGCATGTGTTTTTCAGCAGAATCAAGTAGGTTTACTGTCACTGCAAGTGTAACCATGCATATTGGGGCTACATTGCCCAGGCACATGCAGTCAGTTCTGTTCACTGGGAGGGAGAAGGGGTAGACTGTACTCCCTGGCCCCTAGGCCCTGAAAATCTGCCAGGAGCAACCTTCCCTACCTCTCCTTCCCTCCCCCCTCCTCTACCTACCTATCATCTCCAGATAGAGACGGTGGTGCCAGAAAGACGGAAGGGGGCTGGGTCC